TTTAAGATCATTTTAGTGAAAGTTTCATCCTTCAAGGCGTACCATTCACTGCTGAAATACTAAACAACCTGCTTCCATGGCCGAGATACAGGGCGCCCATATTATAAGGTAAGGTTATAAAACCACCATTTAAGATCATTTTAGTGAAAGTTTCATGTTCCTATCTCATAGAATTTAAGAACAATGATGAATAAATAATTTTCGAGCAAAATTTAAATGGCCGGCTGAATATATTACCGCAGGAGCCGCGGCCGCGGAATTTAAATGACCACGTCAAAGGGTTAAACGTAGGTTTCACTGTATTTCAGCTGTAATTTTTTTATGAAGAAAGGCTAGGATGCATTAACCATAGGGCCATCCATCACATTGGAGAGTTGTCTTTTTTCTGTAGTCCTATCTGATAATATTAATCCTCAGAATTATTGGGGTTTCAGCTTTGTCCATCGTGTAGTATTCTAAAAACTATTAATCCTTCAAGATGAAATGCTACATAGAACATGATGTTGAAAAATGTTTATGAATGTTGTTGGTGATGTGTGTTCACGGTGGCCATTGACTGAAACATGTTGAGGTTAAGGAACAGATTTTCAGAAGTACCCGGGATGATGAAAGAAACCTGTGTCCGAAGTGAACGTTAGCCTTGTGATGAAGCAGCGCAGAAATAGCTTAAAGAGTAATCAGAAATGTGTTATTCTCATGACCTCGGAGCATGTGTGGACTGAACAAAATGCATTGCAAAGCAGGGCAGTTACTTATGAACAGAAGACGTATGTGCAGTGTGCGGGCAACAATATTGTCAGTAATTTTTTATGGCTGTGCCATAGCTCGGATGGTCAGTTTCTGGTAGTCTGTGTTCAGTCGCAGGTGAGGTCACGTGGGGATTTATATGAGACAAAATGGCACTTGGACAGGTTTTCTCTGTATACTTTGTTTCCCCTGCCAATTCTCATTCCACCAACTGTTCCATATTAATTAATGATCCTATCATATAGTACTGTATAGTCTCAATCCTGCCAGCATCATTAAATAACAAACTTAAAAGAAAACTTGAAGTTGGTTTACTCGCCCTTATATTACTGTGAAGGTATATCCTCCCAGAATGCATGTTCAGGAAATCATCACACGTTAGAAACTTGTATATTCCTGAAGATTACTGAGTCCTGGGATGTGACAGCATCTAGTCTGGTGGAGGTATTCATGAATGTTTCGGAAGAACCACCTGGTTCCATCTTCTACCTTGAAGGAGGCAACAGGTTCCTGTGAAACATTGCTGAATATCTACCAGACTGCACAGCACCACATCCTCATCGTCACCACTGTGGCAGCCGCAGCTCTCACTTATGTGGCCCTGAGTGTTTGAGTCTGGAGCTGGCAGACTGCTTAACTGTTGCCATGTGCAACATCACAGAGTTACTTTCAGCGAGTCTCTTGTTCAACTTATGTGGGCCCTGAGTGTTTGAGTCTGGAGCTGGCAGACGGCATAACTGTTGCCATGTGCAACATCACAAAGTTACTTTCAGCGAGTCTCTTGTTCAACTTATGTGGGCCCTGAGTGTTTGAGTCTGGAGCTGGCAGACGGCATAACTGTTGCCATGTGCAACATCACAGAGTTACTTTCAGCGAGTCTCTTGTTCAACTTATGTGGGCCCTGAGTGTTTGAGTCTGGAGCTGGCAGACGGCATAACTGTTGCCATGTGCAACATCACAGAGTTACTTTCAGCGAGTCTCTTGTTCAACTTATGTGGGCCCTGAGTGTTTGAGTCTGGAGCTGGCAGACGGCATAACTGTTGCCATGTGCAACATCACAGAGTTACTTTCAGCGAGTCTCTTGTTCAACTTATGTGGGCCCTGAGTGTTTGAGTCTGGAGCTGGCAGACGGCATAACTGTTGCCATGTGCAACATCACAGAGTTACTTTCAGCGAGTCTCTTGTTCAACTTATGTGGGCCCTGAGTGTTTGAGTCTGGAGCTGGCAGACGGCATAACTGTTGCCATGTGCAACATCACAGAGTTACTTTCAGCGAGTCTCTTGTTCAACTTATGTGGGCCCTGAGTGTTTGAGTCTGGAGCTGGCAGACGGCATAACTGTTGCCATGTGCAACATCACAGAGTTACTTTCAGCGAGTCTCTTGTTCAACTTATGTGGGCCCTGAGTGTTTGAGTCTGGAGCTGGCAGACGGCATAACTGTTGCCATGTGCAACATCACAGAGTTACTTTCAGCGAGTCTCTTGTTCAACTTATGTGGGCCCTGAGTGTTTGAGTCTGGAGCTGGCAGACGGCATAACTGTTGCCATGTGCAACATCACAGAGTTACTTTCAGCGAGTCTCTTGTTCAACTTATGTGGGCCCTGAGTGTTTGAGTCTGGAGCTGGCAGACGGCATAACTGTTGCCATGTGCAACATCACAGAGTTACTTTCAGCGAGTCTCTTGTTCAACTTATGTGGGCCCTGAGTGTTTGAGTCTGGAGCTGGCAGACGGCATAACTGTTGCCATGTGCAACATCACAGAGTTACTTTCAGCGAGTCTCTTGTTCAACTTATGTGGGCCCTGAGTGTTTGAGTCTGGAGCTGGCAGACGGCATAACTGTTGCCATGTGCAACATCACAGAGTTACTTTCAGCGAGTCTCTTGTTCAACTTATGTGGGCCCTGAGTGTTTGAGTCTGGAGCTGGCAGACGGCATAACTGTTGCCATGTGCAACATCACAGAGTTACTTTCAGCGAGTCTCTTGTTCAACTTATGTGGGCCCTGAGTGTTTGAGTCTGGAGCTGGCAGACGGCATAACTGTTGCCATGTGCAACATCACAGAGTTACTTTCAGCGAGTCTCTTGTTCAACTTATGTGGGCCCTGAGTGTTTGAGTCTGGAGCTGGCAGACGGCATAACTGTTGCCATGTGCAACATCACAGAGTTACTTTCAGCGAGTCTCTTGTTCAACTTATGTGGGCCCTGAGTGTTTGAGTCTGGAGCTGGCAGACGGCATAACTGTTGCCATGTGCAACATCACAGAGTTACTTTCAGCGAGTCTCTTGTTCAACTTATGTGGGCCCTGAGTGTTTGAGTCTGGAGCTGGCAGACGGCATAACTGTTGCCATGTGCAACATCACAGAGTTACTTTCAGCGAGTCTCTTGTTCAACTTATGTGGGCCCTGAGTGTTTGAGTCTGGAGCTGGCAGACGGCATAACTGTTGCCATGTGCAACATCACAGAGTTACTTTCAGCGAGTCTCTTGTTCAACTCATGTGGGCCCTGAGTGTTTGAGTCTGGAGCTGGCAGACGGCATAACTGTTGCCATGTGCAACATCACAAAGTTACTTTCAGCGAGTCTCTTGTTTAACATTTCCAGGAATGTGCTGCAGTACAACCACAGTCACGCAGACTTTCCTCTGCCAAGCGAGGAGCTTGAGAGGTACATTCCCAAATGCCTTGTTTATGCATTGTTGTGGAGCTTTGCTGGTGATGCCAAGCTTAAAGTTCGTTCAGACCTGGGTGACTTCATTCGTTCTGTGACAACAGTACCACTGCCACCCTCTACTCATATTCCTGTTATTGACTATGAGGTAAGTAAGACTTCCAGCGGGAAACAAATTGCTTGGAATTGTTCGAAAAGGAAAGGATTCTGTACATACAGGATGATTAAAAAAATTATGCTCCATTTCCTTTGAGTCTTAAAACAAACTGAATAACAAGCTGCCTGGAAAAAAATTTGGTACTAGTGATGCTGCCAATCATGATGATAATGATACATGTTCTGAAACTAAGAAAATTAAAGTTTAGAATGAGTGGGAACATTTTGGTAATGAGATACTTACGACGAAGGAAGCAAATAATATTAGCATTGAATCAGTGACGGAAATGTGGGGAGTTTTGTTGAAATTGTATGGGAAAAAAAAAGAGTGTGCTAGATAAATGTTCGATGTAAGGGATCGGGGAATCAAAGTAGAAATAATTATGGTTAACGTATGTAAATGTCTTGCATGTGATTGCAGTATGAATTTTTTTAAAGAGAGGAGGAGGTAATCAGCTATTCAAATGCGTGAATGTACGAGGGGGGACCCAAAAATAACCGGAAACGACCTGTTGCGCGCGCATGCTTTGTAGTTACGAGTTGTGCTGCTAGGTGGTGTTAGCTGGGGGTCTCCCGCGACTGTTAGTGAGCTGGCGTCAGTCTGAGTTAAGTGGTTTGTCTGTGGTGCTCTGTTGTGTGCGTTCCTGTTTCAACCCTTTGGCGATTAGTGAGATGGCCGACCAGAAGGAACAAAGAGTGTGCGTGAAATTTTGCTTTCTGTTAGGGAAAACTGCACTTCACTCTTCAAGTCGCGGCAAACATTCANAGAAAGCAAAATTTCACACACACTCTTTGTTCCTTCTGGTCAGCCATCTCACTAATCGCCAAAGGATTGAAACAGGAACGCACACAACAGAGCACCACAGACAAACCACTTAACTCAGACTGACACTAGCTCACTAACAGTCGCGGGAGACCCCCAGCTAACACCACCTAGCAGCACAACTCGTAACTACAAAGCATGCGCGCGCAACAGGTCGTTTCCGGTTATTTTTGGATCCCCCTTCGTATGTATGTAACAAGCAACACGTCACTTGTGCATGTGGGTGCATATTTTCTGTGTAGCTTAAACCTGAGACTTCAGATGACATCCTCCACCACACTGGGTCTGTTCTTTATGGCAGGTCATGCATTCAGTTCATCATTCTTTGTAGTATGCCAACTGAAGCTATCCTTAATATTTATTGCCTTTGCACTAATTCTGGTGTGGCAAAAGTACATTTTATCATTTGGCAGTAATTCTACCATTAACCTAAGTAGCAGGGCCAGTGATTTTAATCTTGTATATATTTATATATCCATTAATATTGTCACGTGCCGGAAGGTCGGGTTCAAGTCCCGATGAGGTCATTGGACTGTTTTCAGTTGACCTAATCCTTCCAGCCACACTAGGCCCTGGGGTTTACTTATCCTCTAACAGAAATGAGTACCAGGAATTAATTAAATAATTTTCCTGGGGAGTAAAGTGTGGTTGGTGCGTAAGGCTGACAACTTTACCGCCATCTTTGAGCCGATTGTCTAGATAGTGTGGGACCCTCAACATCTCACAACCCTATGGGCCTTCACAGTCTGGTACAGGGATAGCTTTACTTTTTTTACTTACATGTTTCCTAGGTAACGAAACAATAATTCACATGGGTTTCTGGATTTGAACGAATATTTATTGAACACACACTTTTACAGTCGAGTACAGTTATTATCACCTATAACATCCTCTAGATGTTTCTTCTTGACTATCACAATTCTTCTTGCACCATTCATCTTGGTGAAGTGTCTGCTGATCATCTCGGCTACTGCTAGAACTCAACTCCCTTCAATAGGCCTTTTGTGGACTTCTTATGGAACACCTTTCTCAACAGTTTGGTTCTCCCCTTGTCATACAATGCTTCAAAAAATTCGTTGTAACCATGGAAACTTACTTTAGAATTCCAATATTGCATTACATTCCATTGTCTAGGAAACGTTATCCGTTGACCAGCAACGAACGCTGAAATATGCGTTCTCCTTCCCATTTGTGCCATGACAGATGTTCCATGATCCGGCTTTTAGGCAGCACATCACAGTATATATCTGAGCTGAGTAATTTTTTTAATACGGGTATTGACCTTGCTGGCAATTCTTTTCATAAATAATTAACACAATCTTTTGTGCCCAAAAACAATTTATAGTAATTTATACATTTTCTTGCTAGATATAAAAATTTCCTAATGTCTTTGCTCAAATGTTGGGTTTAAAATATATGTTTATTTCTGATTCGTACTTAGGTCAGTATTACCACACGCGAATGGTGTCCCTGGTCCAACAGAGTGCCACAGATTGAGGTGGACACCCACAAGGTGGCTGCACCTGATATAGTCGTACCAACTCTAGATACAGTTCGCCATGAATCACTTCTGTATACATGGCTCGCAGAACACAAGCCTCTAGGTACAGTAGTTTATGTGTAAAAATGAACAGGCAGAATGGCAAACCAAAGAAAAGAAACAGTTTCTTAGTAATGATGGCGATTTGCAGCAGTGGAATATGACCGCAAGGAAGACAATTAAAAGGAAAACTTCCTCAGTCCATGATTGCCAAGTCCTTGGTCAGTGACGGAACACCAGACTTACAGATTGGCGATGTGGTAATGTGTTGCCTTATCAGAGATTAATGTGCACCTTAGGGGCCAAGGATAAAAGAGTATGGAGCAGTGGTAGAATGATTAGCAGCAGAAGAAAACCGAAGAAACTCGAAGGAAAACCTGCCATATTAATCTCATGAATTGTATTAGATGCTAACACTTTATGTATACACAGTTTGCTCTTGAGAGCCATTATGTGCTGTTTTTGCTACAGTGACAGCTCTGAAATTTTTCGTTTAGATAATACGGATAGTAAGATGAACATCATTTCCTTCCGTCACAGTTTTGTGTGGACCGCCTGGCTCAGGGAAAACCATGACACTCTTCTCTGCCCTTCGAGCACTGCCAGACATGGAAGTCGTTGGCCTTAATTTCTCCTCAGCAACAACACCGGAGCTTCTGCTAAAGACGTTTGACCACTATTGCGAGTATCGAAAGACTCCAAACGGAGTTGTGCTTGCCCCTGTCCAGGTAAGATTGTCAGAATTGCATCCTTGATTGTTCCTCTTCTTGGTTCGAAACAGGTTAGTGTTTGACAAAACAGCGATAGTTTCATGTGTTACGCTTAATTTAGTTAATTTCATGGAGCAGAGTTCTTTGTGAGAAGCTGATAGTTACTGAACTTTTATTACTTCTTTTTTGATGTTAGTGACAAAGTTTCAAGACCATACAAAATTGCAGGTAAAGTTAAAACTTCTATATTTTAATCTCTCCTTTTTTTTAGACATTTAACAGGAAGACAGAACATTCTCATCTGAGTGGTGCCAATCTTTTACAGAATTTGATCTGCTCTTTTAATTTTTCCGTGAATGCAGTTTTGAGTGTTTACTGCCATTTCCTCTGTGCTTGCTTCTAGACCAGCCTCTATGCCAGAGTCTGACACAACTTTTGTGTTTAGGTTTATGGTATTTATGTTTTCACCAAATAAACTAACATTATTGGCATAGTCCACAAGTTGATGTGTCTGATACAGGTTCAGTCCTCCTGGGATTTCTCAAGTCTTCCTAACTGCATGTTTGAAAGGAAAGGTAAAGAGCAATGTTTGTTTCAAACCATCATGAATAGGACATGCATATGGCAGTGATGACCTCTGTGGACTTTATCGTAAGTTTCACGTAAATGCATTTTAATTAGCGTAACTGCTTCCATGGATATGTAAAATACAATGGAAAGGTTGTGTAATTCTTCTGTCTAGAATGAATGATAGCTTCTAGAAGTCTGTGAATAGCTGATGTGCTGTCCCATTGTACTCCCATTTGTTTCTGCTGTATCTGACATGCAGAATGACTCATCAGCTTTTGATCTGTTATGTTGAAATGTAAATGTATAATCTGCAGTAATGTCACGAGATTTGATGTTCTCAAATCAGTGACTGTGGAGAATACTATCTTCTGAGATGTGAGACTTTGTAGTTTCATGGAGGTTTACCTCCAGTTTTGCTGAACAAACTTCATCCTTAAGGTCAAAGAGGAAGCCTAGCAAACAAGCAGAAAAAAGCGTTTGGTTTGCTGGGCTGTCACCGTGTAGTGTGTAGAAAGTCAATTGATATTTCAGAGGAAAATGGCGCCTCTGAAACATCGGTTGACTTTCAGCAGACCACACAACGTTAAATCCCAGAAGAAAACCACTGCTGTGAGAACATGAATCATACAAGGCAAACATAATACTTGAAGCTTATTTCTTGCATGCTTACCGTTCATCCCTGAAGATGGAGACAGTTTGTTCATCCAAAACACTGGTTAACTTCAACCAGACTATATGGTGTCACATCCCAGAAATGTTGTCTGAACATGGAATTAACCTTGAGAGAGGACTGTCAGATACAATCTTGTATGCAGTTGGTAACAGTGATATTCCTTGATAAGTGATACAGTCAGCATCATAAGCATGTATAATAGTAGAACCTTTCCACTGCTCCCTTGCAGCTAGGTAAATGGCTCGTGTTATTCTGTGATGAAATCAACTTGCCAGACATGGACCAGTATGGCACACAGCGAGTGATATCGTTCCTCCGTCAGCTAGTGGAGCACCGAGGGTTCTACCGAGCTTCAGACCAAGCGTGGGTATCTTTGGAGAGAATTCAGTTTGTGGGGGCCTGCAATCCGCCCACTGATCCTGGTAGGAAGCCCCTGTCTCATCGGTTCCTGCGACATGTCCCTGTAATCTACGTAGATTACCCAGGAGAAACATCGCTGAAGCAGGTATCGTAGGAATTTGTCCATTGAACAGTGTTTTTTTTTTTAAGAGTAAACTTTCCTGTAAAATTCGTTCTTAATGAGAGCATGTATCCAAAGATTTTGTTATTGAAATCATTTTTTATTGAAATGACAATTTGTTCAGATGTATATTGAATCATACAAATTTTAGCCATGAATAAATATCATATTTCCGAGATTTAAAGTTTGTGTGGCCGTGAAAATAGCGAACGGTGTCACTCTTCTGCCCAGAAGATAGAGACACTATATTCCTGCAGAATTTCTGTAACAGTCTAGCAGAGGTATACTGCTATAATGCTTGCATGCAAGAGTTCCATCTTCTCTGATATGATGCTATGTAATCTGTTAATATCCATGAAGGTGGAACCCTTCATAATGACACTGTGAGAACCTCGGATCCTACATGACTTTTTTTACCATTTCCGTACAAAAAGTTGCAGGTTTTCTTGCGCAGCCAAAACCAGACTTTTAATTGCTGTGAAATTTGAACGTGTTTATGAGAAACCTGAGATACTGCAAGCAGTTTTATTTGTTTACCTGCCATATTTTGAATATGCTACATGTAGACCCCAGTTACATTATGTTGGAGCCTCCATGTAGTGGTCCTTGAATTGAGGTTCGCCCTCATTGAAAAAGTTCCAGTGATCTCAAGTCAGTAACTTTGTCATTAATTCCCAGAATTTAAGACTCATCAGTTTAGTATACAAATGCACTGTATTGCAGGGAAGCTGTAAATAGCATTTGTTCCTGGTCCTTATTGCACAGAAATTGAAAAACTGACTGTTGTCAGATGGTTGATAAGGATGTGGATGTACCTGAAGGTCTTGTTTCATTTTGACATGCCAGTAAAGTGTTCAGCTGAAACATGCTCTCACACCTGTAGCAGAAGAATTGTTTCCATTACGCGCTGTAGTTTCTTTGTATATTTCTAAATGCCTTTCATTATGTAATATAGACTGATGAAAGAGCTGGCCCTGTAGACTCACTCAGTGATACTGTAAATTAAAGAATTAATTGTAAGTAATGCAGTAAGAAGACAGTGTGCACATGAACTCTTTTAACATACAGAAGAACACTGCATGGGGTTTCTTTTGGTTATCAATGTGTTTGAACACCAAACTGAGGAATATCTTAAATGAAAGAAATTGAGGGCCAATATTACTGATTGAGAATCACTGAAATTCAGTGTTAAATAATGGATAACCTTAAACTGAGGAGCATAAAATGGAGGTTGTACTTACTGTCAGACATCCATATGACACTGGAGGTTCCCATCGCAGAGACTGAAGGTTACTGCCCTATGCTGGAGCTTTACTGTGTAACAGCACGCGAGACTACATACCGTCATATGCAGACTTGGCTCAGTGTCTGTCTGTTTTCAGAGACTACATTTATATTGTGTCAGCTCAAATTGTACTTAAGTTTTATTAGTGCTTAGAGTAGATAATTTTGAAGTCCGTGTTTCCTGTCCCTTTTCAAGGACTGTGTGAGTTGTGCAATTGATGTGTTTCCAGATCTATGGCACCTTCAGCAGGGCTATGCTTCGTATCATTCCGTCACTCCGTGGTTATGCTGAACCACTGACAAACGCGATGGTAGAGTTCTACCTAGCGTCGCAGGAACGCTTCACTCAGGACATGCAGCCACATTATGTTTACTCTCCCCGAGAGATGACTAGATGGGTTAGAGGAATCTGTGAGGCCATCAGGTATTTTACCTTTCTCTGAGAATGTGTGTTTAAATGTACAGTGTGCCCCCATGTCACAGAATTTCACTCTTGTGGAAACTACAGAACAGAATTTGCAAGTGAGAATGAAAGCAGTATTACCCAGCAAAGGAAGCCAACATCTTCACAGAAGTACATAGTAGACATAAAAATTAATATAGGCCACGTGTAAGAAACATTAAAACCATCAATTCTAACGGCAGAATCTTCTTTATCTTTTAGTATCAGTTCCGTTATATATGTGTAAATGGATGAAGTGTTTCAGGTTTTTTTCCCATGATCTTTCCCTTTCAGTTTTTCGCCAGCTGTTTTGTTTCTTCAGGCTGTCTTCCCATATTTGCTCGAACCATCTTGTTCTTTGTTAGCTTGTAGGTCTCTTTGCTTTAAATTTTAATTTTGAGTCTAATTCTTCGTATCCTTCTGTCCATTAGTTTTACATGGCTAATCCATCGTAATCACTTCTCTTCTGACCCTGTTAACAAATCTTGAGTTCCAGCTTCTGTAGAAATTTCATTTTCTATGCCTTCTTGTTGCCCCCCCCCATATTCTCATGTTGTTTTACAGTCCACAGAAGTTGCATCTGTTACTACAAGAGTTTCAGTAACTGAAATCAGTAATGGCACTGCTGCTACTTGTACCTCACAAGTTGACAAGACTGCCATGTTGGTATTACTGATGGGAGAAATAATTAAAAAGGGCAAAGGCACGGTGGCATCTAGTAGAATGATGTTCAGTCAAACTATCATGAAAATACTTCAGTTTGCTGAAATTTCAGAGAAGGAGGAAATGTCATACACAACATGGACACACTGATGTTACTGAACCATGAACATATCTTTTGTTATGTAGCAAGGAAGCAGACTGAAGATAGGTTAATACATTTGTAAAGGGAGATAAGTTGTTGATAATTTTTTTTTGCTTTCAACCATTTAAATGCTTGAACTTCATCTAAATAATATTAAAAATTCAGTTCTCTGACAGAGAACACATTGCTTCTCCATTACAAAGACTAGTTGATTAATGCTTTTGGGGAAATAATTGCTGATGTTCTGTGAATTATACAAAACTTGTAAAGCCATTATGTAGCCAAAATCCAGAATTTGTTATTTTAAAGCATGTGATACGTGTAACTATTGCTGTGCATTAAAGGTTTAATGACTCCAATAAAGAAACAGAAATGTGAATGGTGAGCTGGACATCATTTTGTTTTGCGCAGGCCACTGGAGAATCTGCCTGTAGAGGGATTGGTACGATTGTGGGCGCATGAAGCTCTGCGCTTGTTCCAAGATCGCCTGGTTGAAGATTCTGAGCGGCGTTGGACGAATGAAAACATTGACACTGTGGCTCTGAAACATTTCCCGGGAGTGGACAAAGATACTGCTCTCAGTCGGCCAATCCTGTACAGCAACTGGTTGTCCAAAGACTATGTACCTGTCGACAGGGAAGAACTTCGAGATTACGTGAAAGCCAGGCTCAAGGTGAGGATGCAGTAAAGAAACTAGCTCCATGAAGTTGGTAGTTGCCCTGCTACTCAAGTTCCCAGCAACATGTGGAACCTAAAGGTTCAGTATCCTGTGCAGATGAGCTCACCATCTGTCCCTGTCCTGATCCATATGAATCAAACCACATCTTTGCACTCTGTTTCTTTAAGATCCATTTTAATATTATCCTCTGATTACATTTAGGGCTTTCCACTAGTCACTTTCCTTCAGGTTTTCCTACCAGAAGTTTGTAACCACTTCTCTTCTGTGCATTCTACTTTCCCTGTCCATCTGGTTCCTTTTGATTTAATCATTCTAATGATTATGAGTACAAATTATGAAATTCTTCACTGTGGAGGTCTTCCAGCTCCTCAATTTGTTTTTCTCTTCATGTGAGAGATCTGCAAGAAAGGAAAGCCTCGCTATGTTCTGAATGAAAGAGACTGAATCGGGTTTGTAGCATTCGCTAAGAATATAGTTCCCTGCCTGACACATTCACTAACATTCCCATCACCTGCTGAGGTGAACGTTACTGCTGTGTCAAGTGTTGGACTGTCGCCACTGTTTACGTAAATATCATTTTCGCATATAGATGCACAGAAACTTGAATTGTAGCTTGTTGATACTTGAAAGAATCGAAATGTACCGTCAATTGGTTTTCACTCGTTCTGTTCCATTTCAAATGTAGTAAGCCCAAAATCAAATTTTATGGGAGTGTGACTGGCCCAGCAGGTAATTTTGTAGCATGAAGGTACGTGCTAGTAAACAGAGAATTGGTGGTTTCCAGGTGTGATGCTGGGCTCTCATTCAGAAGGTCTTAAGTTCAGTCCCTGACCAGATGTATGTGCACATTTGTCTGATCAAAGATTGGAACCTTCATCTCTATGGAGGATAAGACTTTGGGAATATGAGGAGTATCAGGTCTTTCCCATATTTCGAAGCCCATGTGAGGATGTAGGTCACCTCTGCTGACCGTCACTCTCACACCACTATGTTGGAAAGGCGGGAGGTGTCCCACCCGGGAGTTTAATTCTTTGCTCATGCATAAGGGGGGCAGAGGCCAAGGAGGTCAACACAGACCTCATCTAGAGGCACTGCAGAAACAACTTTTTTTTTTTTTTTACATTTTGAAGTGTGAAGTTCATGTAAGTAGCATTTAAAAATGCTGTTCCTGCCTAACAGAAAACATTGCATATACATTACAAAGACTACACATTTAATGCTAGTTAGGGAAGTAATTGCTGTGTACTGTGAAACAGTGATATGCTATGCGGGAAAAATGCAGTTTTTTTTTTTTGTAATATTGAAGCACGTAACACATACAGTGATCTGTGGGTTAATAAGATGTTTCTCCCACTTTTACCAGGTGTTCTACGAAGAAGAACTTGATGTGCCTTTGGTGCTGTTTGATGAAGTTCTGGACCATGTGCTGAGAATTGACCGAATCTTCCGCCAGCCACAGGGACATCTGCTGCTGATCGGCGTATCGGGTGCTGGCAAGACCACTCTCTCCCGCTTTGTTGCTTGGATGAATGGGCTGTCCATTTTCCAGATTAAGGTTTGCACGTTTACGTTCATTTTCTTGGGATTGTGAAAGTAAGCAAGTGAGTGACCCCTCATACTAGTCTTGTGATGATTATCCAGGTACACAACAAGTATACAGGTGAAGATTTTGATGAGGACCTGCGGGCAGTGCTGCGTCGGTCCGGCTGTAAGGATGAGAAGATAGCTTTCATTCTCGATGAATCAAATGTCTTGGACTCTGGTTTCTTGGAGAGAATGAATACCCTCTTGGCAAATGGAGAAGTGCCTGGTCTCTTTGAGGGTCAGTATAAGTTTGTATCTATACAGGGTGATTCTCTTGGAAAAGGACCCAAATTTATAATTAAAAGTCAAACGAAACTTGGTAGTTATGTACCTTGGTAGATCTGGAGATAACTGGGCTCCAGAAGATCTTGAAATTGGTTTCCTGCTGCTTGGAGACACAGGCTGATGCATCAGTCCACACTTGTGAGAACTGTGACCAGCGCTAACGGAATCAAAGGTGGGAGGACATGGCAAACATTGGCCAGGGAGGCACTGGATCAGTGTTGCCAGGTTCTGTTTTCATTATTAAATAACCCTGTGATTTATAATTAACTAATTTTATGCCTCTGAATGAATCGTCCTGTATTTTATTTACATCCTGTAAGGTGTAATCAGAAATTTCCTTTGTGAACAGAGCAGATGAAAGTAACATGAATTCTAGCAAACTGAAAATTTATAAAGAAAAAAAAAAGAGAATATAAATGGCCATTACACAGACTTATTCATGAGGTATGACAGTGAAGATTCATTGACACCATGTAGTCTGGTAGGTGTTTACCAACATTCTGTAGGAATGTACTGCCCACGTCATCCTGTTCCTTCTACCTTGAAGATGGAAACAGCAGATTGCATTGAAACATCGGTAAGAATCTAGCAGACTACATGTCATCAAGACAGTAATATTCATACCCACTGACATGTGAATGTCAGATATCTCAAGAATCACACGCACGGCTTACTTATATGAGAGAGAATCAGTAAATATATCACAGATGGAAGAAAAACAGCTGTAATGGACGTAATAGGTTTCCTGTGTGCATCACTAGGTAGCAGCACAGTCCAGCTTCAAAACAATCTAGGTAGCAGACGTGCTTGTGCATGTTCAGAGTCTGGTTTGGCAGTCAAAATGGCGACCATGATGAGCATACAACCAAAGAGCAGAGATCTGTTACGCGTTTTTTGCAGCAAAAGGACTCAGTTCAGAAGATTTTCATAAAGAAATGTTTCCCGTTTGTGGTGGTTTGTGTTTGTCCTGTAAAGCAGTTCACAACTATGTCGAGAAATGTGGCAAACATTTTGCTGATGACAAGGAGGTTCACGGATGACAAAGAAGTTGGAAAGGAAATGCTGAAGTGCCTGAGAGAACAGTCAAAAGACTTGTGTGCTGTGGGTTTCAGTGCACTGGTAAAGCAACGGATGGGACAAGTCTATCAGTGTTAGCGGAGGATATATCAACAAGTTTTTTCTCCAGGTTCAAATATCACATATTTTACATTTTGTATCCATTTGTGACCTATTTACCGACTCTGCCTGATACATGTTGATATGAATTCTTATGCTGATTTCTGCAATCATATGCTGGTACAGGAGATGAGTACACAACCCTGATGACCCAGTGCAAGGAGGGTGCACAGCGAGAAGGGTTGATGCTGGATTCAAATGAAGAACTGTACAAATGGTTCACTGGCCAGGTGATGCGCAACCTACATGTTGTATTCACCATGAATCCTTCATCTGAAGGTCTGAAGGACCGTGCAGCCACATCACCTGCTCTCTTCAACCGTTGTGTACTCAACTGGTTTGGTGACTGGTCAGATGGTGCACTGTTCCAGGTAGGTTTCATTCATGACTAAGGTCATCCTTTATGATCCTTTTTGTGCTTGTCATACTGGATGGGTGGTGATAGTGTTTCATAACTTCAGTTTGTTTTTAGAAGTTATTGTAGAATTCAGAGGGACATGCGGTAGCATAGTTGGTTGAGGGGCTATGCTACAAGCTGGAAGGTCATGGCTTCAAGTCCCGATGAGGTCATTGGATTTTTTTCATTTGACCTGATCCTTCCAGCTGCACTAGGCCCTGGAGTCAACTCAGCCTCCAACAGAAATTACTACCAGGAATTAATTAAATAATTTTCCTGAGGAGTAAAGCGTGGCTGGCGCGTAAGGCTGACAACCTTACCGCCGTCTTTGAGCTGATTGTCTAGAAAATGTGGGACCCTCAGCGTCTCACAACCGTATGAGACTTCACGGCCTGGCACAGGGATAGTTTTATTTTTTACTTGTAGAATTCAGGAACAAGACTGGCATAATGTCAAAGGAAAGTTGATATGTTGTGACATGAAGGGACGCTGTGATGTAAGTAACCCCCGGCTCAAATCCCTGTCTAAGGTATTGGCATATTCTCTTGTACCAGAACAAAACAGTATGTTATAATTAATCTTAGTATAATCTTAGTAGCCATCACGACAAGGACCGTAACAGATCCAGCGACATCAGAGGACACGGAAGAACAGCGAGACCTCCAAAAAGTGAAAAGTGCAATCAATATAATAAAATTGAACTTTAATTAATGAACTTTTCACCAATAATATAATTAAACTAGTTAAAGTGAACTTGACGCAGTGATGAGCGTAAGTAGGAAGTGACTGAATAACAAGTGAAAGCATAACTAGTGATCTGAATTGAAATTTGATTCACAGATTTTAAATTTTAACTTTTGACATTTAGAATAATATTTTAACTTGTGTTTTGTGAGAGAAGCTTGATATATTATTGAGAGTGGGCCTAAATAAGATACAGGATCGAATAAGTGAGGAAACGAATGTGATTGCGTGTAATTATACAGCTGTGTTCGTACACCTGAGGATGACCTCTTGAGGTCGAAACATGTAGTGTAATAATAATAAAAATATGTTGTGTGGTCGGTAAAATTGACTCTAATATTAAAATAAGACATTCTCATTAACTTCATCGAGAAAATTCATTTTTGAGAATCTGATAATCGATTGGCCTGTCACAAAATTCCTGCCCTCATGGAAAACCCATAGATTCAGTATTGTATTCACAAATCTTCCATTGGGCTCTGTCATGAAGCACTTGAACCCGGTTGGCGTCCTCAGATTCTGTTTCTATGAGATTCAGTTCAATAAGGAACCTGGCATAGACTGATATAATGACATGGCCTTGGGCAACCATGGAATTGAGGGTTCAGTTCCAGGCAAGAGGAAGAGATTGTAATCTTTTCCAGAGCATCCAGGCTGGCCCTGGGGCCAACTCAGCTCTCTCTCTGAGGGGTACCAGAGGCCCTTCCTTGAGGATGGGGTTTGAAATACGAAAAACAGTCTTCACAGTTGAGTACATAATTTAAAGAGGCATTTAGGAAGGCGGACAAGTCACATATCTGTTCAGACAAAGCTCAACAGTTTCCTCAAACCCACATTATTACGTTCAAAAAGAAGTGCAACTTCTGAGTCTTATATCGATGAATAAATGTATTGTCTACTTGTAGTTTTTAAATAAAGGCTGTACAGTGGTACTTTTTTTTTTAATTAATTTCATCATTACTAATATCATTAAATTTTCCATTTATTTGGTCTAAGTTCTTTTGTTTCACTAATCCGGATTATCGCTTAATCCAGATGATCCCCACCCTCAGTTACTCTGGATTAGCAAGGATTTACTGTACTGACGTTTCAGAGAAACATACTGCCTGTCATTGGAGCTTCCATAAAGAAGGTGGCAGCACATTTGTGTGAATCTCCAGCAACAGTCTAGCAGACTACATAGCGTTTAATACCAGAAGACAGCAATCTTCATAGTCAGAACCATGAGAACAAGCAATCCTGCAAGATCATTATGGTCTCATTTTATTGCTTTAGGTTGGACGTGAATTCACAAACCGAGTAGACTTGGACAGACCCACTTGGAAGGCTCCAGATTTCTTCCCGTCTGCAGTAACGAGTCTGCCTGCCCCACCCACACATCGTGATGCAGTAATCAATGCATGTGTATATGTGCACCAGACACTTCATAAGGCCAATGCTCGGCTTGCCAAAAGAGGCAGTCGCACAATGGCAATCACACCACGGTAAGGTTCACTCAGTAGATGCCATGCATTGTGATCCACATGTGTTGTTAAACACAACAGCAGTATAATCAATCATCTGCAGTTGTTTTGTACGAGGCATTCTCATGCATGTAGTGTCAACAGCTCAGTTCATTCACTCTGCCCCCCATCATAGTTACTCAGCTAGTCAAGACATTCGTGGCATTTTATGGAACCCGAAGGTTCATTATCATATCCTCAAGAGCCCACCACTGAAACCTGCTCTGAGCCAGATGAATTCTTTCTATACCCTCACATCCAGAGGCAGGAACATGGTAATGAATCCTGAGGTTCTCCAGAAATCGAGAAGTATCTTGACCAGCTGAGCAGTTGTCAGCTTCTGTTCTGCAGAATTAATGAGAATCAGGCATTATATTGATGTGAGATAAGTTACACAAAATATGTTTTGTCCTCTGTAATTTCTTCCCACCCAAATGATATTCAGGTTATGGCAGTGTGCGTTCTTGTAGGTTGGGATTCAGTGTTTCGAAGAAACATGCTGCCCCACTCTTCAGGGTCAGACTGAGTATTGTGAGGGCAAAGGCACAGTGGCAAACCCTGGAGACCACAGTCTGAACAGTCACCCGGCTGAAAAGCTCAAAACTTACAATTGGGACTGACTTGGGTGGGGAGGCAATCTCTTTGTGTTATTTTTGCTTGCAGCTAACTTGGTGGGACTCCCCTGTATGTACAGCGCCAAAGAGTTTTCACATGCTCACTCTGGACCAATAAGTGTCATTCAGTATAATCAAGTGCTCCTGAAACTTACTGTCGAGTGGTGTGGAATTGTGTTCATAAGATTATACTCGTCTTCCTTGGCAAGAGAGTGGCTCACCAAGGAACACTGTGGCACTTTGTTGGTTTCTGATTTCAGGCATTACCTGGACTTCATCAACCACTTTGTCAAGCTGTATAATGAGAAGCGATCTGATCTGGAGGAGCAGCAGCTGCATCTGAATGTTGGCTTGAACAAGATCGCGGAAACTGTGGAGCAGGTGGAGGAGATGCAGAAGTCTCTGGCTGTCAAGTCACAGGAATTGCAAGCAAAGAATGATGCAGCCAATGCCAAACTGCGCCAGATGGTGAAAGATCAGCAGGAGGCAGAAAAGAAGAAGGTTCAGAGCCAGGAGATTCAGGCTGAACTCGAAATTCAGACAGTCAAAATAGCGCAGAAGCGGGAGGATGTAATGGCTGACCTGGCCCAAGTGGAACCGGCTGTTATCGATGCCCAGCAAGGTGAGTTGTCACAAAGGAATACGAACATTGCATTATAGCCTCTGTGTCTGAAACCGCTACTGTATAAATATTCAGGAAAGTATCGAATTAGGGCTCCTACATTTGCAAGGAAAGATCTGGGACAGCTCAGTCATGAGCAGCTAGATTGTGGGCTGAACAACCAAGGAGTCAGGGTTCAGTTCCCAACAGGGGCAGAGATTTTTCTTTTCTCTGCATTGTCCACACTGGCTCTGGGGCCTTCCCATTTTCCTGTTTAGTGGGACCAGAGGCTCTTTCTCCCAGGTGAAAAGCTGACCACTCACATCAATCCAGTGCTGAGCTAAACAATGCATGGATCTGTAACTCCACTTTGTGCTTCCTTCTTCTCTCATTGACCGCCTCTGTGGTATAGTGGTCAGAGTTCCTGGCTACAGATCCAGAGGTCCCGGGTTCTATTCCCGGCGCTGCAAAATTTAAAGAGAAGTAGTGGGTCTGGAACGAGGTCCACTCAACCTTGTGAGGATAATTGAGGAGCTTTTTGAAGGAAATAGCGGCTCCAGTTTAGAAAACCGAGATTAACAGCCGTGGGGATGTGTTGCGCTGACCACGTGACACCCTCTATCCACAAAAGTTGGCACTTACTTCACCAACAAGCGGCGGTCTCTTGGTCGGTATAGTTCACTTGCGGACTACAGGCCATGTAGTTTATTTTTTTTTAGTCTTCTCTTGTTTCATTAATGAACTTGATACTGGTTGTTTTGAGTGTGGATGGAAAAAAGCATTTCATTTCAAAGTAAGGAGTCAACATTGTACTTCACATCAGGTGCTGTATAAATCTCATAATAACTAAACTGAATTATATGGAAAAGTGGTATGTTTACAGAGGGAAATTGACTTCTCATTTACTTCTGTTAAAAGAGTATTTACTGAACTTGTGTTTCCGTACTGAATTTTGTCATTATTTTTAGTTACTTTTTTAATATTGTTTTGTGGTTAAGAGAGAGAGTACATTTATAGGCACGTGTGTTTTTGTGCAAAGGCTTTGAAAATGGCAACTCAATCCCAACAGTTTGAACAGGGAAGACAGTTTCTCCCTGAGGAGGCCATGGAAACCTCTCATATGCTCACAGAAGGAACAAAAGAAGGCTGTTTCTAAAAACAAGTCTTGACTTGACTCAACTCTGGCCATCGTCCTTATAAGAGCCCATTTGTGGTTGCACTTTTCAGGGCATCTTGCTTTTTCATAGTGCCCCTTTCAGGACGCTCTGTTTTTGTGTTACCCTTTTGAGGGCCTAAGGTGCCATTTGGTCCACCCGGGACCTCATCCTCCCTCTCCTGTGTCTGGCCCTGATCGTCTGTACCTGTTTCCATGACCCAATTTCCTCTACCCCTTTCCTAGTTTAGCTCACTTCTGCCCTGAAGATGGAGGCAGCATTTCCCTTCAGAACACTGATCATCGCCTGCCATAGTGCACAGTGTCATAGTCCAGAAGGCCACAGTGTGAATCTCACGTTCAGTGCAGCTTCATAAACCAGGAGTGTGAGTATTATATAGTTCAATTTCTTATTGTTATTGTTTCTGTTGGATACTGTGTGAAGTCATTGTGATTTCTTGGATTCAAGGTTCTCACAGCAGTGATTATGAAGATTATGAATGTTACAGTCTTCTGGGGTGTAGCACCATGTAATCCAGTAGATCATTACCAATGTTTCAGGGCTTTCAGGAAGATCAGAACAGTACATTCTTCTGAAACATTAGTAGTGATCTACCAGACCACACTGGATCACATTCCAGGAGACAGTAATCCTCAGTTGTGCTTCAGTTCATGGTACACCCTTTGATTTGTGCCTTTTGGAATTCTGTAGCTGTGAAGTCAATAAAGAAGCAGCATCTAGTCGAAGTTCGCTCGATGGCAAACCCTCCTGCAGTTGTCAAAGTAGCTCTGGAATCTATCTGTCTTCTCCTCGGAGAAAATACCACTGAATGGCGAACTATTCGTTCAGTTACAATGAGGGAGAACTTCATCTCTACAATCGTCAACTTCAACACAGAGGACATGAAGTAAGAAGATGGATGGGCCAAGAGGGATATTTTTTTAAATACTTCGTGTTGCATGTCCATGTTTATCCCCACTGTTGTCCGTTTTATTTTAAGTATGTATAGTTCCCTACTCTTGACGTTTGAGCCCTGTAAAGCGGGAGGGAACCTTCAGAGGTGTATGATAGCCATGACCAGGCAGCACGTTGCTGCGTCCTTGGTTTTTAAGGTGAGGACTGTGTCTGTGATCCAGCACTTGGCTGGTTACAGATTGAAGAAGATAGGTTTCTTCTTGGTAGAGTTATGAAGCAAGGTAGATTCCCCATAATATGGCCCTTAAGACAGCAATTCTGCGTGCTGTATGATCTCTGATATGTAGTATTTTTGTCAGAAAAATGTGTTATTAGTTCCAACTAAGGCACGTACTTGAAAGTAGGCAGGTATTCCATCTGTACTCGTGGTTTACTCAGTAGAAAATGGATGATGAAAAAGAACTTCAGACACACATTCTTTACAGGGCTCACTGTTATACTTTTAATATTCTTTTGTTTTTACGTAAATTTTCTTTCAGTTTCCCGACTGTTGCCTGTATCTACATTTTACCTTAGTAGTGTAATATTTGTTATCTGTGAATGCTCTGTTCTCTTGGGTGTAACTAAACAACATTTTATGTTTCTTTTTCACTTTGGGCGATTGACTGTAGCTGTGAAATCAATCAAAAGGCAACACCTTGTGGAGGTTCGTTCGATGGCAAATCCACCAGTACTTGTGAAACTTGCGTTGGAGTCAATCTGTCTTCTGCTTGGTGAAAATGCCAGTGACTGGAAGTCGATCCGTGCTGTTATCATGAGGGACAACTTTATCAATACCATTGTCTCTAATTTCAGTACTGAGGACATTAAGTAAGCATGATTATTGCTAGAGGGCCACTTCTGCTTTTAGTAGCTAATGGGTCAGGAAGTTAAGTGGTTTGGGTCTTTCACATTCAGTACAAACTATGAAGAGTTTATGCAGAAGGTAACTTCTACCCTCAGGATTCTGGTTTTATGGTCTTTTTTGTTCATCTTGATACCAAACAGAACACAGCATTTTGGAAAGTTTACATATTTCTGTTCTCTGGTGAAAAGGTGAGTGGGCACCAACCCTGCTGAGGCTCCTAGAAAGAACTAGTGTATGATCATGTGATTGATAGTTATTGTCAGACTTTTACACCATCCTATTTGCAGTTGTTAACTTAAAACTCCATACATAATGTTTAAATATGTTTATGATCTCTGGTTCATTGTTCATATCTGAATCAAATCATATTCTGTGGACTCATCAGAATAATTCTGTATATACATGCAATCCTTCCAGCCGCACTAGGCCCTGGGGTTTACTCAGCCTCTAACAGAAATCAGTACCAGGAATTAAATAAATAATTTTCCTGGGGAGTAAAGTGCGGCCGGCACGTAAGGCTGATAACCTTACCGCCATCTTTGAGCCGATTGTCTAGATAATGTGGGACCCTCAACGTCTCACAACCCTATGGGCCTTCATGGCCTGGTACAGGGATAGCTTTACTTTTTTTTTACATGCAAAAGCTATGAACACACAAAATCAGAAATCAAAATGGCTGTACCCAGAGCTTGCTTTCCTTCTTTCTTGTGTATGAACTTCTGGAAAGTAAGATCTCAGAAAGTCTTGGGAAGGCTTTATTGCATAATCCACTGTTTATTAAAGCGATTGTCAGAAAAACGTCAGAAGTGTGCTGCATGATCAACTAGTATATATTTTCATTTTAGTGCTGAACTTTTTTTTTTTTTTTTTTNCAATACATAAATTTAGCCTGAGTACTCCATCTCAGATGTATATTTTATAAGGATTACTTGACCTACAAGTTGTTCTCTCCCTGTCCTCTCCCTCCAGTTATGTCCCTTAGCAAGTGCCCCCAACAATCTCACTTGAAGGTGATCCAGAACCCCCAATGTTCTTCCACTAATGTTCTTTCAAAACTATAGCAGACTGTGTCACAAGTATAAGATCAGGAAACTGTTTCAACCATGAAAATTTCAGAAGTGTGATATTTAAGACAGACTTTTAATTTTATATAATTATATCAGTCATGTAGGCTGAATTTAAGATACTCTGTATCTCCTTCCATTGCAGGATTTGTGTACATAAATGATTACACAAGAGTATATTAGCTGTGGTTGTGTAGCAGGGCATTGTCATTGATTTGACATCCATCTGTTGTGAAAGACCCAAACCCTGCAGTAATGTAGTTACTGATCACAGTGGCTGGAGTGTTTATGTGAGTGCTGCATGTGCCAGTATCTAGCAGTCAGACAAGAAACTTCTTGAATCCATTGATGCATGCTTAACCATGTCATTTCCATGAAGTTGTACCGTCCTTACTTCCCAGCCACTTGAATTTCGGTAGTTCAGTGTTTAGTACTTTGTTGTTTTAGTATGTAAGTACAGATCTGTGACTTCTCAGTATCTGCATCCGTATGTTAACTATTCCCTCATTCTGTAGCAGTCAAGAGGCAGTAGGTATGGGTAGAATAATTTGTTTGCAGTGAGAGGTACCTTTGTTTCAGTCGGTATTACAGTCTCAGCTTTTGCCAAAAACAAATTTTCTGTGTTGGTAGCATGTGTATGAAGTGAAGTCATCAGTTGGAGGTGGTATCTTTGGAAAGTGTGAGTAGAGACAGGGGATTGTTTATTTTGAAGTCATTCAGAATAATGTGTGGTTGTGTTTTAATACAAAGGAAGACTGCAAAATGTACATGGGGAAAAAAGTGGAATGTATGATGATCATTTCAAAATAATAGCTATTTTTTAAATCTGTTAGTGTTTATTATGTATGTGAAGGCCATCATGTTCAACTGTTTGCTGTCATAGTTGGTTATGCTGTGACTGAAAGGATCATATCTCTGTTCTGTAATGGTCATTGTGATGCTCTGCAACCAGCTGAAGAGAAAGGTTACATATTTCTCACAAAGTTTGTTCTTATAGGAAACATATGCCAAAAAAACATTTCCTGTAGAGAGTAGCACTGCTTAGTACATGTTGTTTCATCAAATTAAATATCTTTTTTTTTATTGCTAGTGGGCTGGGACTAAGTTCCTTGTACTGCAGTCACTTCTGGCTTACTGTACCAGCCCCAGATGATAGGTGAGGGTGACTGTGGAGCAATTGGCGGAATGAAGATTGGTAGGGGAAACTGAAGTACTCAGAGAAAACATCCTCCAGCACCACTTTGTCCACCACAAATTCCACTTGACCAGACCCTGGGATCGAACCCGGGCCGCCGCACAGTGGGAAGCCAGCGACTAACCTCTTGAGCTATGGCGCGGCCAGGAGAAATGTTACATATTTCTCACAAAGTTTCTTCTTATAGGAAACATATGCCAAAAAACATTTCCTCTAGAGAGCAGCACTGCTTAGTACATGTTGTTTCATCAAATTAAATATCTTAGTATAAACATAGCTGTCTTCCCAGACCATTTCAAAATCATAGCACGAATATTTGTTGAAATCGTGATTTTGAAGTGTTAATTAGTGTTTCGGAGGGATCTGCTGTGTCCATTAGTGTCAGGATAGACCCGTGCACTTTTGCTGGAAGCAGGAGATTCCTCTGGAACTTTGAACGGTCTACCAGACTGTATGGCATCACATGCCAGAAGACAGTAATTTTCAGTCACGACTTGGGAATCTGACACAGTTTGTCACATGTCATGAATTCTAAAATTTTATCCTCTGGATAGACTGAAATTTTCAGAACTTTGCATGTGTAAATATCATTTTCACATTCTGATGGTATGATCAGTGTATAGTATCTCCCTGTATGTGGCTTCCTGTAGGCTTTTCATTTGATAAAGTTGTCCTGGTGTGCACAGCGTGTACAGGACAATAACAGTTAATGCCTCAGTTGTGTACTACTGGGATTTAATATTTGCTTTTAAGGGACAAATATTTATTGGTTTCATATGGAGTGCAGCATAGCTGCAAAGGAGAGTACATTTGTAGGTAAATTTGGTGTAGAACTGAGTGAGATTCATGACAGTTTAGTGATTTTTATAAGTATAACCATAAACTGCATCGTACTGCATTTGACTAACTTTCAGGCATGTTAACATGGCCTTTGTACTATTTTATTTTACTTTAAGACCAAATAAGTTATTTGCAATAGAAACCTGGAATGTGTTTAAAAGAAACTTAAATTCACATGTTGGTTAAGTTTAAACATTCCTAATGATGGTGTGTTATAATAAATATTGTTATTATTTTTTACATTTGCCATCATCTTTTGTGTTTTTTGAAATGTAGCATTCAGTAATTGGATCTGTTTTTTTCATCCACACTAAGAGAGGAAGGATTTGTACCCAATTGGGCCCTTCAGAAGTAACTAGTCTTGAAAAAAAACTCAGATTGTGGACAGTCCCCAAAATGATGTTCATGTTTATGTGAAATGATGGTGTGCAGATGCAGGATTTAAAACAACATTCATTGTGTTTTTAGCACATGTCACAGTATTGTTTGTGTTCTCTTTCTGCAATGCAGTGATGAGGTTCGGGAGAAGATGAAGTTCCGGTACCTCAGCAATCCTGACTACAACTTTGAGAAAGTGAATCGAGCCAGTATGGCTTGTGGTCCCATGGTCAAGTGGGCCATTGCACAGGTAATTGAAAATTAACAATTCGTGCTCCAAAACTCAAAACGGCGACTCATAATGATTTTGATTAAACTTGGTAGTTTCTGGAGACTGTCTCCCTGAACAAGAACGCATAAGTGGTATCTTCTGGGAAGTAATGGTATGTACACCAGAGGCCCACATATGAAATGTTGGTTTTGTTAAAATTAGCCTTGCTGGTCAAACAGATTAATGTTTGGTGTTCAGAGACCAGCAGTTGTCAGCTGAGTAACAGTCAGCTTCATTTCCAAGGTTTCATAGTCAAGGTTAGTCATGTATGAGAAAATATGTGCGCTGTTTTGGACTGATTGATTTTAATCAATACCATTTCCCTAAACGTTAGAATTTCCATTTCATATCCAACAAAGAAGTAAAGTGATTCTCATTCTTGCATTAATGCTTGCTGATTTTCTCAATTATGTGGTTTTTATATTTGTCAGAATATACTGATTGTGTCGTGTAGTTTGTCAGTGAAAGAGGGAGAAATCCATTAGTGTGAACACTGAAGCAGATTTGTGGGACTGATGCAGGCATCAGAGCAATGACAATTGTATCCCAGGCAGGCAGGACAAGCTCTGTAAATGCTTTTAGTACTCTGCAGAATAAGTTCTGTCATGTAAGATTTGAGGCTTTCACGGCGGTGACTATGAAGAAAGCAGTCTTCTGGGATTTGGCACCGTGTATATGTGGTGTTAACCGACGTTTCGGAGGAACGTATCGCCTCCATCTTCAGGGTAGAAGACAAAGTGTCTGCTTTTACCGTTCTCACGGTCTTGTCGCTTGCAGATTTCTNCCATTCAGTCTTACACTAGAGCAGGCATGTTTGTATTCTGTAGTTTTGTACTATGATTATTGGTTTTAATAGCTATGTAGCATAAGTTCTGTTTTATACTCTGTTACCCTGATAGCCATAAGTATAATACATATGAGGTTGGGCCCTTTCAGTACCAATAAAATGTAATTTATGTTCCCTAGTTAGTTAAGTTATTGGAGAAGGTGGGTTTCCCCATGCACTTAGACCAGTATTGGTCCATTGTGCTTCCCTCTATGATATTCTACCAGTCTCTATACCCTACTGATATTGGTACGTACCATCAGTCCCGACCGAGCCAGCGAGTTCGGCCTCTACTGGCTTAGCAGTATCTATAATGCTTCCCCCATCTATCAGAGGCGTTAGAGACTACTGTTGGGCAGGAAATGTCCTTGAATTTGGCTCAGTGACCTCCTTTGGAGGTATGAGGTTCTTTTACGTGCCGTAATGCTACGACACGGGACCCACAGCTTAAAGTCCCTCCCGGAGGACTTGTTCCCTGAATTTTTCCGCCTTTAAAAATTCCACAACCTTCGCCGGGTTTGAACCCGCGTACCACGAGTCATGAGATGGGAACGTTACCTCTAGACTACGGAGGCCGCTTTGTGTTCCCTAACATACTATAATGTAGATTGCTGTTGCATCCAGAATGCCATGATAAACAGTTCTGTACAGTGTTGCCACCTTTTGAGAGACATAAGAAGTGCATGCAACAGCTTTTGCATGGTCCATAGAACACAAAGACTGTACAGCACTGACCCTAACATTTTCCAGGATATTCCAAGTATGAACAGAGAGTAAATCACCTAGAACTTTTCTTGGAATACCACTGGAAGGGTTAAATATCGCAGCTGTGTGTATTCCATATTCCAGCTTCTAATTTTTGATATCTCACCCCAGTTTCTTTACGTTTTAAATTTTTGTCAAGTCTGTGATGCCTTGTCATTTTGCCAATGGGTGATTATTTTTTTGTAATATGTTTGATGTGACTGCGTAACCCTTTATGCATTTCTATGCAGATAAACTATGCAGACATGTTGAAGCGTGTTGAGCCCTTGCGGGACGAGCTGCACTCATTAGAGGTGCAGGCCCAAGAAAACAAGAACCGTGGTGAAGAAGTGACGAACCTCATCACACAGCTGGAGCACAGCATCGCATCCTACAAGGAAGAGTATGCTCAACTCATATCTCAGGCCCAGGCCATCAAGACTGACCTGGAGAATGTTCAGGCCAAGGTAGAGTGTCAGGATTGAATACATGTTGATGTAAGTAGATACCCTGCATTCTTGTAGGGTTCGCTCAACATTACTGCCAGAATGAACAAGGTTGTGGTAGTGTTTTGGCTTTTCTACTACAGATGGCAATGTTACTATCTTTTGTGGTCTCTTTCTCCAAAGAATAAATTTGATTTTTTGTTTTACACCAAAGAAAATGTAGAATTTACGTCATTTCTGTAACCATATTGCAACATGCTATTTGCATGTAGCTGCAGTGTCAGGCAGGGTTCCATTTGAAGGAGTCTTTAAGGGGTTTAATGGTAGCATTTTTTTTCTCCCTAGGTTGATCGTTCGATTGCTCTTCTGAAGTCACTGGGCATTGAACGCGATCGCTGGGAGGCGACAAGTGTGACTTTCCGGTCTCAGATGTCGACCATCATTGGAGATGTCCTTCTTTCGTCAGCTTTCTTGGCATATGCAGGCTATTTTGACCAGCATGTAAGTTAATATTAATCTGAGACCTGAGGTTCTTGTGGTTATGTCAGCATAAGTTTTGAATGGTGTGCCATGTATAGAATAATTGTTTCACTTCTCTGGCCAATCTTGTTTCTCCTCTAACCATATATAATTAATTTGTTTGCCATGACTTCACACTTGTATCTGTTGCATTTACTTCCAGTATCGACAGAACTTGTTTGCGACATGGTGCCACCATCTGCAGCAGGCAGGCTTACAGTTTCGAGGTGACATAGCCCGTACTGAGTACTTATCAAATCCGGATGAACGTCTTCGCTGGCAAGCCAATGCTTTACCTTCTGATGACCTCTGCACTGAGAATGCCATCATGCTTAAGGTAAATAATGAGTAAAATGTAGAATGTTCTTGCACAAAATAGAAATAGGTCCAAGAATACTTGTTTACTTCTACAGGCTCTTATCCTGATGGAAAATACGTGTTATTGTACTGTAAGTGCTCTGTGTTTAACCCTTTAATTGAACTGGAGGGAGGGGGAGATAACTGGAGTTTCTTCTTTGTGCAGAAGTTTGTTCTGGGAGATGATCAGCCTGCAGTAAGTTTATCCCAGAGCCAAAAGCCATCTGTAAACATTCTGTGCCAGGATCCATAATGTTTAAAATTCTGAAGTGCCAGTGAAGCAGTTTTCTGTGTTCCTTTGGTTTGCCTTTGCAGCTCATCTGTCTACAGTTGCATTGTCTTTTTTTTTTCCTTGGCACTACAGCCCCAATGGGCCTAGGCCTACCTCCATGAACTTCTCCATTCACTTCGGTTTTTCTAGATCTTACACATTCAGTAGGACTCCTTGGGCGGGTGATCAGCTCGTTGCAGGGCCCCTACTTTTACACAAACACAGAAAAACGCACACGCCCAAACTAAACAGCCATGCTCTGAGTGGGATTCGAACCCACGATCCCGGTTTCCAAGCGAGCGAAGGCAGTACATGCCTTAGACCGCTCAGCTACCGTGGCTGGCTGCATTGTCTTACTTTGTCTCTTAATAGCTGTTGAGGTGTGTGATAGCCCTAACTAGGCAGCACATTATGTCTGAGATGGACTTCAGCAGGTTCTGGCTTAAGTTTGTCCACAAAGCTTAGACCATTGCTGTTTGTTCTGAAACTGCTAAGTGATGGAGATCAAAACATAATGTCCAAATACATAACTACCCCATGATGTACCGTGATGTAGTAGTATGTTCCTGCTGCTTTCTTGTGGTTTAGTCTATTGAGATGAAGTTTCTGCACAGTGGTAAGAAATGAAACTGAACAGGCTGGTCAAGTAGTAACACTACAGACTTATATTCAGGAGGTCCTCGGTTTGAATCTGATCCAGAACACTGGGTTTTATGGTTGAGGCTTTCACGATTTTCCTCAGAACTTCCGTGAAAATGGTGGGGCCAGTACCTTGATTAGATCGTGAATGCTTCCTTGAAAATCTATTCCAACTGATCAGCCATCCCACCACATACTGCTGTATAGGCTAGATACTGACAGTTATAAGCCACACACGCACATATTAAAATCAAACAGACAGTATCAGAAACCAAGGTGTTGTTATTTTTTAATTTTTTTTTATTGCTAGTGCAGTGGGACTAAGTCCCTTGTACTGCGGCCACTTCTGGCCTATTGTACCAGCCCCAGATGATAGGTGAGGGTGATTGTGGAGCAATTGGTGGAATGAAGATTGGCAGGGGAAACCGAAGTACTTGGAGAAAACCTGCCCCAGTGCCACTTTGTCCACCACAAATCCCACTTGACCAGACCCGGGATCGAACCTGGGCTGCCGCGGTGGGAAGCCAGCAACTAACCGCTTGAGCTAACAAAGGCGTTAGATAGGATCTTGAAGGAGAAACACTAGAAGGAATGTTAATGAAAAAGGGATGCAGTTGTATGTACATGGACAAGAACAGGATTCCTTTGAGAGCATGAGAAGCCGAGATGTCAGATAAGTGATGAGTAGACCAAGTGAGAGAATAGTAAAGAATTGGGAACACTTGGTTACAGGGAACATTCATCCCATTGGAAATGTAAGTGAATGATTGTGTTGAGATAATGATGACTATTTACAAATCTTTGTTCAGTTAATGAACTGGTATGTAAGTCACATATCACCAAGATGACGATATTGATACCATGATATTGTTTGTTTCAGCGCTTCAACCGTTACCCACTGATAATTGACCCATCTGGACAAGCTACTGAATTTATCCTCAACGAATTCCGTGACAAGAAGATAACAAAAACAAGTTTTCTGGATGATTCATTTAGAAAGAATCTAGAGTCAGCCCTGCGATTTGGAAATCCCCTTCTGGTTCAGGTAAAGAGGCATCTGTAATTGTAAGAAAGTGCTGGAATTACAAACTGTTGTATTAGACGAATCTAATGGTCTGTGACACAGGTGTGTTAATAGTCCTCTGACTGCCAGGCACTGTCATAGAACTACCAACTAGAGATGAATTTGCAGAAAAAGTCCCACAGTACTTTGTCAAATGACATTCAAAGGACCACAGGTTTAGATCAAGCAAGACCCTTTTCTTTCCTCTAAACACTGAATGACTATTTACAAAAATGCTGTACTAAATAATTAACAGTGAGCTGATGTCTTCAGTTGTGGAAGTTTCAACACAAGTACACTGAGCCAAATTGATCATGTTGTGACGTGAAGATGGTTGAACTGATGGAACAGAGTAGGTTTTGTTCTTTTACCTGGGGACAGAAGCAGACCCAGCTTCTGAAATGTTGTGTTTCTATGCCTCAAATCAAGACCATTGTAAATGTCCAACGTACATGTCAGTTGAGCCGCTATGTTGTTAGGTTTCCTGTTTCAGGAAGAGTACAGTTATTTGAAATTACTGAAATATTAAATGACTGTTACATGTGTATTGGGTTAGACTTAAAAGATTGGTGCATCACTGCTATATCACAGCACCTAGATATCATCTTAATGACCTTACCAGAACCCACTGACTTACGCATAATGTTGTGATTAAGTTTAAAGCTTTTGACAATGGCTTTGAGCAATAATTTTTTAAGTTCTGAGTGTGATACTGTTTGCCTGTGCCACAGGTGAATTCAGTACATAGAATTGGAGTTTCTTATACAGTGGAATATTCTGTATTAAGTCATTTATATACTTATTGTCAATTTGGGGGACTCACAAGTCTACAAAATTTCTTTTAGTGGCACTTTTCTTCCTTCCATGTTAATATAATTTTGATATTGCATATTTTAATTATGCTAACAGTTTTCAAAGTGAAGAATGCCATCTTCTGGGATGTGGCTCTGTGTAGCTCCTGTGTGAACCGAAGTTTCAGAGGACTGTATCGCCTCCATCTTCAGGGTAGAAAAATCTGCAAGCGAGGAACCAGCTTGAGAGCAAGTGGCTGCAGACTGAGTCAGTTTACACAATATCTGCACGGTACCACCTCCCAGAAGATGGCATTCTTCATAGTCACCACCTCAAATCTTGCATAATTTTCGAAGTGTTTTTCCCTGTAGGGAATGAAAGTCCTCAAACCTACATGTGCTTTTTTTATAGGATGTCGAGAACTATGATCCTATCCTGAATCCAGTGCTAAACCGAGAGTTGCGGCGAACTGGCGGACGTGTTCTTATCACCCTCGGTGACCAAGACATTGATCTGTCTCCATCATTCGTTATCTTTCTGTCAACCCGAGATCCCACAGTGGAGTTCCCACCAGACATCTGCTCTCGTGTGACGTTCGTGAACTTCACGGTGACTCGTAGCTCACTACAGAGCCAGTGTCTCAACCAGGTGCTCAAGGCGGAGCGCCCAGACATTGACGAGAAGCGTTCAGACCTGCTTAAGCTACAGGGTCTGTATTAGTAATGTCTCCATGTTGGTGTTTACCAGTAGCAGTGATATATCCTGTGGAAAGGCTCAGTAACATCTGATGTAGATTGTAACATGTGACCTTTCCATGTATGATAACTTTCTGTCTGCTTTTTCTCATTAGGTCTGCAGTGCAGACTGAAATATCAATCTTTCTACATTTTGGAATGTTGGAGGAATAGCATGAAATTCATTGTAATTACTGCAGATATACCCATCAACCGCTGTCTCCCGCACATATGGCAGCCTTGAGATCCTCTCACGCAACGGTCTTACGTTCTCTGCTGCCAATTCCATTGCTGTAATTTTATGCTTGTCAGTTTCATGTCACTTGGAACAGAATCAGAACTGTGAAGGTAGGGGCAGCCATACCTCCAGATATTGCAGCCTGTCTACCAGACTGCTGGGCATCACACCGCAGAAGATGGCACTCTTCATGGTCACCACTTGAGTACCTGACCTCTCACATTAATGAAACTGTAGGTCTGCCCTGCCCCACCATCCTCGTCTAGTGTGGTCCGAGTACTCCTTTGACATGACCAACATGTGTGCCAGTGCCATCTGAGTTCATGGGTTCATCAGTAGTCTCATGTCTTCTTACTGTGACAGAATTTAAGTACCTTTAGGGAAGTCATGTATTTGTTCCTAAACAAGAATTTCCTGCCTTGTTCACCAAATGAAACAACAGATCTAAGTGGCTGTGTTCGTGTACAGTTCCAGGAAGTTATACACTCACTGTTTGACTGCTATTTACGTTGCATGCCGAGTATGGAAGCACTTGTTAAATTGCAACCGTCTGACCAAAGCCTGATCTGTATGAAAGGATTTGGTACTCATGTTGTGCAGGTGAGTTCCACCTTCGACTGCGTCAGCTGGAGAAGTCGCTGCTGCAGGCGTTGAATGACGCGAAGGGTAAGATTCTGGATGATGACAGTGTGATTACAACACTGGAAACTCTGAAACAGGAGGCAGCAGACATCAGTAAGAAGGTGGAAGAGACGGACAAGGTGATTGGTGAAATTGAAACTGTGTCCCAGCAGTACATGCCCCTGTCACAGGTACGTCCCGGTGTAATTGTGTGTCGTCTTTTTTTGCTTCTGTAGCCATAGACAGTTTTGTAAACTTGTTCAGAATAATAGGTGTGTTTATAGAACATCACCTTAAGTGTTTTAAATTATAATGTTCTGGAAACAATACCTGTGCTTATGGTCCATACCATAAGGGCCGCGTTATAGCTCAAGCGGTTAGTCGCTGGCTTCCCACCACAGTGGCCCAGGTTCAATCCTTGGTCTGGTCAAGTGGGATTTGTGGTGGACAAAGTGGTGCTCGGGCAGGTTTTCTCCAAGTAAGTCGGTTTCCCCTACCAGTTTTCATTCCACCAGATTCTCCATCATAATCACCTGGGGCAGGTACAGTAGGCCAATCAGTGGCCGCTGTACCGAGTGGACCCAGCTGGATTCCACCCCCCACTAAGCAAAATTATGGTCCATACCATGAATTTTAGGGTTCTGTTTTATATTTTCCATAAGTGTCAGATTTCATAACTTGACCATCTATAATGCAAGAGCAATGTACTTAAATGTCTATAATTAGTGTTAGTGCATGCAATGTTCGGATTATTGCTTGGACATCACACTTATTTGTGGTCAGTTGTACGCGGGCCCTTAACATTCCTTCACTGCTTCATCTCCGTGGTTTTGCTTTGTATCAGTAGCATGCACTGTTTATGTACTGAGGAAACACTTCTGTTGTTGGCCAACTTGACTGTCACGGTTGCAGGCGTGCAGCAATATTTACTTCACAATGGACAGTCTGAACCAGATCCACTTCCTGTACCAGTATTCACTCAAGTTCTTCTTGGACATCTTCAGTTCCGTGCTGTACAGCAACCCAAAACTAGGCAGTGTCACCGACTGTGGCGCCAGACTCGCAATCATAACACGGGACCTGTTTGGAGTAAGTAAAAGCAGATGCATTCTGTATTTATATAAATAGTTGCAAGTCACATGGATTGTTGGCTGTGTGTAAGTACATATACGTGTGAGCTGTATGGTTGTCAGACCAGTGAGTAATGAGATTATGGTCTTCTGTCATATCACGCTGTCTAGTTTGGTACGTAGGTGCCACTGCTTCACTTGGGCCCTGAAGATGTAGGCAGTAGATTCCTCTGAAACATTGGTATCTGCCAACCAAATTTCAAGAGGTGTTAAGTTTGAAACTTGGCTGGGCATCAACCATCCTGACGCAGGATCTTGTTCGTTATTCTGCGTCTCTGCAAGCAGTTGCCAGGACAGTACCTCAAATTGTGCCATGACCGCCTCCTTCCACATCCTTTCCAATTCATCATCAGTAATTATTGTACTATATGACACTGTAGTGTCAGATTCTGAGGGCATCATTAAATGAAACATGACATCACATCTCAGAAGGCTGTAATCATGTGGATATGTGAATGGTACTGTCTTCTGGGATATAACGCCGCGTAGTCCATTGAACATCAGCTACACAGCGTTATATCCCAGAAGATGCTGCTGTTCATAACCACTGCCATGAGAACCTCAAATCCTACATTATGAATATATGTTTCAGGTATTTTTTCATATTCTGTTAAATGAAGTGCTTAATCAGAGATATGTGTGTGGTACAGCATTATTTAATAACATTGCAGGTTTGCTATGAGAGAGTAGCCCGGGGTATGCTGCACATTGACCGCTTGACTTTTGCCTTGCTCTTGTGTCGTATTCACATGAAGGGTGCACCCAATCAGCCTAACCTTGATCAAGAGTTTGCTTTCTTCCTGCGTGGAAAAGAGGGGATGCTGACCTCCAGACTGCCCACCATGGAAGGCCTCAATCTAGAGCAGCTAGAGGCCTTATTCCGCATGTCCACAAGGTATGTCATTTTAACATAAGTGTAACAGAAGGAAATGTGAAAAAGTGAAGGCAGAGTATGTCAGCTAAGGAACTTTTAATTCAGTTAAAGATACATTCTCTGTAACATTTCAATTGTCTGGAATATGTAATACTTCAAACTACTGGAGTGTGCGTTGAAAATTCAGGAGGAGAATTTTACAGTTTCCACACATAACCCTTCTGTTCATCATCTCCAATCCTGGAAAATGGGACCTTACAGATAAGAGCAGGGGTACTTTCTGCTCAGTGGTAATCTCTAATGTGAAACTCACCTTAGTTGGATCATATAAACATGGTGCACGTTGCTTGAAATTTTGAATAAAGAGAAATCAGTTGTTTGAAGTTCAGAGTCGCATTCATCCCACAGCTCTGGTTGTATTATTACAGGAGTTTTTACACAAATATTTTGAATAACATGCAAGATGATATCTGATAGATTATGTGTGTTTGTACGTTATGTATTCAGACTGCCAGCATTCAAGAAACTGTCGCACAGAATCCAAGAGATGCCAGAATTTGGAGCATGGTTACAGCAAGGAACACCTGAGCAGTGTGTACCCCAGCTGTGGGAAGAGGACAGGCAACTGAGCCCAGTGGGGAGTGCCATGTACCAGCTGCTTGTCATACAGGTACACAGCTGTCATCTTTTTGGCTTCGCTTCTGTACAGAAATATAATGTTGTACCTTGCGTATTGAAACTGGTCAGATATCATCAGGATACAGGAATTGGGTAGCTAAGGTTTGACAGTAAACCCACACTAATTGAGCGGATACCCTCCACCCATCGATATCATCTGTGGGTGCAGGGTTCCACAGACTTAAGATAGATGCCATATACAGGGAACCCCTGATTTTAAGTTTTTTTTATGGGGGCAGTTTATGTCACATTTACGTTCAGTTCAGATATACGAGAAACTTATCTCTGTAAGTCAGTCTGGGAATATTTGATTTTATATGTCATTGTATTGTTGTATTATATTGGAGAGGGTGGGTTTCCCCATGCACTTAGACCAACTGTTGGTCCATTGTGCGTCCCCCTATGATATTCTACCAGTCTCTATTCCCTACCAGTACTGGTGCATGCCATCAGTCCCAACTCAGCCAGCGAGTTCGGCCTCTACTGGCTCAGTGGTATCTCGATGCTTCCCCCATCTACCAGAGGCGTTAGAGACTACTGTTGGGCGGGAAATGTCCTGAATTTGGCTCAGTGATCCCCTTGGGACATGAGGTTCTTTTACATGCCGTAAAGCTACGACACGGGACCCTCGGCTTAAAGTCCCTCCCAGAGGACTTGTTCCCTGAATTTTTCCGCCCTTAAAAATTCCACGACTTCCGCCGGGTTTGAACTCGCGTACCTTGAGTCACGAGGTGGGAACATTACCCATAGACTACGGAGGCCGCTTTTATGTGTCATTAGTAACAGATATTGATATTTTTAGACTGGATTAGATTATATTAGATTGGTAAGCATTAAACAGTGTTTGCACTGGCACCATCTATGATCTGTTATGCTTCTCTCTTCTAAGATTGCCCCTCTAGCAGTCCCAACTTCAAATGAAGTGCAGTACATTGGTTAGTGGGAAGTTTTGATAAGTCGCTTGACTTCACAAAAGAGAGTCCCAGGTGACGAAGTCATAATTCACCTAGAGCTTCATAGTCACGGATCGTGTGTGATGTGTCTTGCCTCAGGCATTCCGGCCAGATCGCGTGATTGCAGCTGCACAGCTGTTTGTGTCGTCTGTGCTGGGCGAGGACTTCATGCCAGCAGCAGAGAAAGAACTGGACCTTGCAGCCAGCGTAGAGACAGAACTGCGTGCAAATGTGCCTGCGCTGCTGTGTTCCGTACCGGGTTTCGACGCATCTGGGCGAGTGGATGATCTGGCCGCTGAGTTGGGAAAGCCTATTGCCAGCATTGCTATTGGTTCTGCAGAAGGTTTCAACCAGGCAGATAGGGCCATCAACCTGGCTGTGAAATCAGGAAGGTGAGTTGATGTGGTACTCGTTAATGCACTCCAACAAGATGACTCCTGTACTTAGTCCTTTCGGAGCCAAGGCATCAGGAGGAAGCCTTCTCTTCTGCTCCTTTTTCGTCTTTCTCATTCTCAGTTTCTTATCCTTTTTCTCTCCTCCTTTATTCTTCCTTTCACCCTCCATCTCTTTTTTTATATTCTCTGCACCTTACTCCCCTCTCCTCCTCCTCTTTATCTTCTGTTATTCCTTTCCATTTTTTGTGGCCACAGTCAGGCAGAACATATGGGTAAAATGCGATAAATGTAGCTTAATTTTCTGGGATGTCATGCTGAGTAGTCTTAGGAATATTTACCATTATTTTGGAAGAACTGCTGTTTCCATCTTCAGGGTAAAAAAGTAAACCACATGGGAGAAACAGTGAGTTCTACAGTGAATGGAGAGCAAGGACTGGAACTGTGAATGAGTGAGAGCAGAATAATGTGGCATGTGGCCTCCACCCCAGTCCTTCTCATCCCTGCATCTCTGAACTTTTTCCACACCCACTGTACTCCTCTACCGTGATAATGGGGGTAGAAGGGCCCTCTGCAACTCTAGTAACAGTCTACAGACTTAACAGTGCTGTGCTATGCTCTGCTGTGCAGGTGGGTGATGCTGAAGAACGTACATCTGGCCCCCCAGTGGCTGGTACAGCTGGAGAAGAAACTGCACAGCTTACAGCCCCATGCCAGCTTCCGACTCTTCCTCACCATGGAAATAAATCCAAAGGTTCCAGTGAACCTACTTCGAGCTGGACGCATCTTTGTGTTCGAGCCACCTCCTGGTATTCGAGCAAACCTGCTGCGAACTTTCAGTACTGTGAGTAAATTTGCTTAAATTCAGTACAGCAGGACCCCCCCCCCCATTTAATGTTCCTTGATTTAAAGTTTTTTCCTCATTGGTCCCAAGCTCATAGTGTAGCATTTTTCCATGCTAAGTAACCCCCAGTGTTGGGCCACGTGATAGCTGAAACGGTTACTCGCTGGCTTCCCACCGCAGCAGCCCGGGTTCGATCCCAGGTCTGGTCAAGTGGGATTTGTGGTGGACAGACTGGCGCTGGGGCAGGTTTACTCCGAGTACTTCGGTTTCCCCTGCCAATCTTCATTCCACCAATTGCTCCACAATCACCCTCACCTGTCATCTGGGGCTGGTACAATAGGCCAGAAGTGGCCACAGTACAAGGGACTTAGTCCCACCCCACTAGCAATAAAAAGAATAACCTCCAGTGTTGAGATCTGCTTCCTGCCGGACCCATAAGTTGGGCTCTCACTGAATGTCACTTCTTTGTGTTTCGGAGTGCTGTAGTGTTGACTGTCACTCAGGATTGAGCTGCTACAGCCCTGACCAGACAGTGTTGCCTAAACATTAATATTTGAAATTCAGTGACTTTCATATTGATGTTGCATGTGAATATCTTTTTAGGCTAGCTTATAAATTCTCCAAATGTGAAATTTAATGAATCTGATGAACTGATCAAATGAACACTAGAAGCAGTGGATAAAAGCAGTGTCTGATGACATTTTCATTCATTCTTCATTTACTTAGCAGTGCTTTCCCATCTGCACAGTGCTGAATGGGAAGACAGTTGTGAATGATGAACTGACTATAGATTATGATGGCATAATTGAAATCTTCATTTCAGGTTCCTGCATCTCGTATGATGAAAGCACCAAATGAACGTGCTAGGCTGTATTTCTTGCTTGCATGGTTTCATGCCATTGTGCAGGAACGTTTGCGCTATGTACCTCTAGGATGGGCAAAGTATTATGAATTCAATGAATCTGATCTCCGAGTGGCATGTGATACCCTAGACACATGGATTGAAACCACTGCTATGGTAAGTTTGTTAGTGACCATGGAAAGGTAAAGCTATCGCTGGAACAGGCTGTGAAGGCCCATAGGGTTGTGAGATGTCAAGGCTCCCACATTTACTCTAGACAGTCAGCTGACAGATGGCAGTAAGGTTATTAATCCTTATGTATCAGCCAATCTTTACCCCCAGGAAGATTCCTAGTACTCATTTCTGTTATAGGCTGAGTCGACCTCAGGGCCACAGTGCAGCTGGAAGGATTAGGTAAATTGGAAAAAAAATCCACTTCATCAGGACTCAAACCCGCGACCTTCTGGCTTGTAGCATAGTACCTCAACCAAGTACACTACTGCATGCCCCTAGTTTGTTAGTAACGCTGTGTTAAAATGGTAACTTCACTATTTTCTACTTAAAGGAGTGGGATTCCACTTTGTAAGTGACTTGTGGTTGATGCCTTGCTATTATCTGATTGAAGAAAATAGCAGGAAGGTATGGCAATTTGTGGTCTTGTAGATAGTTACTGACATTCCAGAGGAACCTGATGCCCCCACATGTTCTGATGGCAGCAGATTACTTCCAAAATGCAAGACATCTGTTCCTATCTAGCAGGCTGCGTAGCATCACAGTCCAGGAGATGATACTCTACAGAGTTGCTGCTGTTAGCACTTAAGTCGTGCAGGAAATAACACATTAGCAGCGCACTAACAGTTTTAGTTAGGGAAGACACAGATGTATAAACAACCCTCTTGCTCATAAATGATAATATTGGGACCAGGGCAGCTCAGTCAGTGTAACAACTAATCTGCAGGCTGGATGACCAAGGAAATAGACTTTGATTCTCACCTGAGGCATAAGATTTTTCTCTTATCTATGTCCAGACTCTCTTTGGGCTTACCGAGGTTTGTATCCAGTGGGTACTAAGAGCTCATTCCCTAGACTTTCAGTACATGGGGCATGGAGCTGACCACTCCCCCATGCATATGCATATATTTTTTTAGTTTCATTTTGTGTTACTGTCAGTACAGAGTGTTGCAGTAATACTTACTGAATATGTCTACAGAATTTTTATATTTTGAGGAACATTCTCTAACATAGTAACCATTCTGAAACCTAAGATTAGAAGAAACAAAATGTTGGGTCGATTTCAGCCTCAGCTAGTGGTTACAGTTCATCCCTGTGAATCCAGTTCAGTACTTTTGTTGTAATTCCGTTTTCACTTTATGCTCTTTGATTCCAGGGCCGCACCAACCTGCCACCAGAGAAAGTTCCATGGGATGCTCTGGTGACACTTCTATCCCAGTGTATATACGGTGGAAAGATTGACAATGATTTTGACCAGCGTTTATTGGCTTCATTCTTGGCAAAACTTTTTACACCTCGCAGTTTTGAAGCTGACTTCGCTCTGGTAGCAAATGTGGATGGAGTAGCAGGGGGTCCTGGAGGCCAGAGGCACATCACTATGCCTGATGGCACGAGACGAGATCACTTTCTACATTGGATTGAATCTCTGGCTGATAGGCAGACTCCATCGTGGCTGGGCCTCCCCAACAATGCAGAGAAAGTCTTACTCACAACTAGAGGTATTTGTATTACTTATGTTGATTTTGAGCGTTGCGGTGTTGTCGTGTCTAGCTGAGCCAGAAGGAAAGAGATCACTGAGAAGACCAAGGCGTAGGTGGGTGGACAATATTAAAATGGATCTTAGAGAGATATGATGGGATGATATGGATTGGATTGATCTGGCTCAGGATAGGGACCAGTGGAGGGCTCTTGTGAAGACGGTAATGATCCTTCGGGTTCCATAAAATGCTGGGAAATTCTTGAGTAGCTGCAGAATTGGCGGTTCCTCAAGAAGGGCTCAGCTCCATAAGTAAGTAAGTTGAGAGCTGACAAAAGAGACCACCACTAGACCAGACTAAATGTATGCATTTTTTATGCAATTAAGTAATGGTCATCAGACTGAATAGTACCTTCGATAAGTGGTGTCATTTTCACAAGGACAGTTTCATGTGTTTGTTGGTCAGGAGTAATGATTTTAAATCTACCAGTTCTACAGGGTTGGCAGCATATTATAACTTTGAGAAATATGATGCTTGGCCAGTTAACATTAATAGTTTTGGCGGGTGGGTAACATGTTCTTCCATGATGGATGAAACATTTTACAAGGCTAATCAACATGCTATTCTGTCAGGGATTCCTGGGTTTGAGTCGGCAGTTAGAAGAAATTGCTCAAGAGAATTTGATCAAAGAAAAATAAATCCCATGTTTTATTCCAGGCACAGACTTAGTTGGGAAGTTGCTTAAGATGCAGCAGCTGGAAGATGATGATGAACTAGCCTATTCAGCAGAGGAAGGACTCAGCCAGACGCATGTGCAGGATTGTGATGGACGACCATCATGGATGAGGACATTACACACCTCTGCCTCCACCTGGCTACAGTTGCTTCCAAAGTCTCTTCAGGTAATTCTGTAATAGATTCATGAACCGTGGATGATATTTTTATGTTCCCTTTGGTTATGCAGATTACTGGTAGAGTTTCAAGTTCTGAGTTTTTTACAGATACAGAGCTTCTAGGTTGTGATGCAATGTGGTCTTGTAGCCAGGTACTGACATTTTAGGGGAACATACTGCGTCCATGTTCAGTGTAGGAGTGTGCAGTTTGGCTATAAAGGTGTGTTATGAAGGAGGCAGTCAGTCTTACCCATGGAAGGAGGTGAGGCAAGTCATGGAAACCTCTTACGCACTTCATGATGGGGAGCAAAAAGTTTCTTGCCAAGGACAAGATAGTCACTTCCACCTGAGATGACACTCCTCTACCATAGCCCACAACAAGGGCCCATTTCTCAGATTCCATCTGTAGGGAGACTGAAAGAGGCTGTCTTTTGTCAGTATTCCATGTCTCGCCTGCGATAAGAAACATACTGGGGTCTTCAATTTCCTTACCCCTTTCCATGGGCCTGAGTGACTCCACAGTTCCTCACCCTACGCACACAAGCAACATGACTAGAGTGGTACAACCCGTGGACCTCAGTCAGTGCTAATACAGTTCATGCAAGAGGATAATCATACTATTTTAGGTGCCTGTGGACATGACTAACCTTGTTTTGTTTCTTTATTCCATCCTTATATATGAGGAGTTGTATGAAATACAGAGTTTTGTTCTCTGATATCTTAAAAATTTTGGGTTTGTTGAAATATACACCATCAGAACTCAGTTTGTTGTTTTCAGATGAAAGTTTCAATACATATAATTTCATAAAAAATTATTACCTTCTGTTACGTGGAAAGGTGGACAGTGATATCTTTAATAGAACACTAACTTCAGTTGTCCCTGTACTTAACTAATTAAACAGTACACAATGAAGGCGTATGGGGGAGTGGATATATAGATCCACATTTTCTTGATCTCAGCACTAGTTGAAGGTAAGTGGTCAGCATCACGCTCCGACCGCTTTACCCCTGGAGAACGAGCCACTGGCACCCATTGGATAGGAGGTTGGGTGTACCTGAGAGCCAGTCTGGACAACATGAAGAAGAGAAAATTCTTGACCCTACTGGGACTCAAACTCCGACCTCTTGGCCGTCCAGCCCATAGCCGACTGTGCTATCCCAGCTTACAACTTCTGTGTAATGTGACTATAAATAATAATTATGGTGCCTTAAATTAGGCCATGACCACTTCCTGCCACATCCTTTCCAATTCGCTCTTCACTAATCATCCTACCATTGGACACACTGTAGTCTGAGCTACTGCCAACATTGTTAAGTAAACTATAAATAAGCTGTTTAATGTGTGCCTTCGCATATGTCCTGCCCAACAGACAAGTATATTACTAACTTTAATTGTTTCTTGCATCCTGTTGTGTATTTAATCAATATTAGAGTCAATTTTACTGACCACACAACATATTTTTATTATTATTACACTACATGTTTCGACCTCAAGAGGTCATCCTCAGGTGTTCGAACACAGCTGTATGATTACACGCAATCACATTCGTCTTCTCACTTATTCGATCCTGTATCTTATTCAGGCCCACGCTCAATAATATATCAAGTTCCTCTCACAAAACACAAGTTAAAATTGTTCTAAAAGTCAAAAGTTAAAATTTATATTTTTTAAACAATTTTAAATTTAAATTTTAACTTTTGACTTTTAGAATAATATTTTAACTTGTGTTTTGTGAGAGGAGCTCGATATATTATTGAGTGTGGGCCTGAATAAGATACAGGATCGAATAAGTGAGAAAACGAATGTGATTGCGTGTAATTATACAGCTGTGTTCGTACACCTGAGGATGACCCCTTGAGGTCGAAACATGTAGTGTAATAGTAAAAGGTATGTTGTGTGGTCGGTAAAATTGACTCTAATATTAAGTATATTACTAATTCAGACAAAACAAGGCTTCCAGAGTAACACAAGTGTTACTTGCAGTACACAGATGAGGTTTTTTTTTCCTTGGCACTACAGCCCCAGTGGGCCTAGGCCTACCTGCATGAACTTCTTCGTTCACTTTGGTTTATCTAGATGTTACACATTCGGTAGGACTCCTTGGGTGGGTGATCAGCTTGTCGCAAGGCCTCTACCTATACACAAACACAGAAAAATGCACACACACAAACTAAACATCCATGCCCTGAGTGGGATTCGAACCCACGAACCCAGTTTCCAAGCGAGCGAAGACAGTACATGCCTTAGACCGCTCGGCTACCGTGACCGGCCACAGATGAGGTTTACAAGTTGAAATTATTTTGAAAAGACTGAAAATCATCTTCTTTTTTTGTGTTACTCATGTCTTATCTTTATATTACACAGCTATAATGTTTGTTGTAACCGGAACCTGGCGTGTAAAATTGTACTCTGAAAACTAATCTTCACATATTTAGATACCGCAACCTTTGAACATGAATTGCTGGTTTTAAAGTTGTGTAAATTATATAAATAAATGCATTATATTCACAGAATTGCTTCTCTTTAGTACACATCCATATTTGCCCTGCAGCCCACTCAACCTCCTATCCAGCGGGAGTAAGGAGCTTTTCCCCTACAGTAAATTGGGCAGAGATGATGATTCTTTCTGTCTGATGCCCAAATGAAGAGTGCTGGAACTTTACATTCACTCCCAAATTCATCATGATATGATTAAATACACGTCAGCTTTATCTTTTTACATTCATGTATTGAAATTGTTTTAGACCTTGCGACGCACAGTCGAGAACATCAAAGATCCTCTATACCGTTACTTTGAGCGTGAGGTCAACTCTGGAGCTAAGCTACTTCAGGATGTGATTCATGATTTGGAAGATGTAGTCCTCATTTGTCAGGTTAGTAAACACACATTTGTTTCTTAGTGCCTTCACTTCTGGCACCAGTGCTGCTGCCCTGACCATTTTCCATACTCCATTAGTGGTTTTCAGTGTTTCATGGTAAAGAAATGAATACCAAAGAATCTTTTTATGGCCAGGGAATCACAGAAAGCAGCTAAAAGTGCTGTCTGGTGACAGAAGTCCATGCTGAGTGTATGTTCTAAAAGAGAAGTACCGTGGAACCCCCATTTAGCATTCCTTATTTTATATTTTCCCTGATTTGACTTTCAGTTTGAATTATCCCAAGTCAATACAAAGTAAAAAAAAAAAATTATCTGGTACGAGATATTTTAGGGAGAAGTTTTGAGTGGTTGGGGAGTGTGATTAGAGCAGACCAAACAGTTGTGGCCTGGGAAATATTTGCAAATAAGTCACAAGGTATAAGAAAGGTGGGAAGGCCCAAAGTAGATGGCTGTAAGATGGAGAGAATGATTTATGAGAGATGAAAGTGAAGAGGTGGAGGCACAAGGCAATAATACAGCAGAATGTTCTGCTGGAGGTTAGTACAGAGCTGTTCATTATGTAATATTCTCAAATTTAAAAGTACAGTTTTATATATATTAACCATTTCCATGCATTTTCAACCCATTAAATTTAGTAGGAAGACATGACAGTCCTTGTTCTTATTACCTTAGGGAGAAAAGAAGCAGACAAACTACCATCGTACTATGCTGAGTGACCTTGTAAAGGGAATCCTTCCTCCCAGCTGGAGACGTTACACGGTGCCTCGCGGCTGCACTGTCATTCAGTGGATCACTGACTTCAGTCAGCGAGTGAAGCAGTTGCAGGAAGTATCACTTCTGGTCTCTCAAGGGGGAGCCAAGGAACTGAAGGTACTGTGCCCTGAGTGTATTCAGCATTAACGTCAGACTCCACAGTTCCTTCCTTACAGATCACGTCTGTGATATTTTGCTTTTCAGACGTTCCATGTTTGGTTGGGTGGACTGCTGAATCCTGAGGCCTACATAACTGCAACACGCCAGTGCATTGCACAGGCCAACAGTTGGTCTCTTGAGGAACTGATGCTCGACGTGACTATCACAGACGGAGGGGCAGATACTAGCAAAGCCAGCATGGATGAATGTAGTTTTGGGGTTATTGGTAAGTGCCTGCTAGTTGTAGTCCCTTTTCCTTTTCATCTTTGCCATGTTTTTCTCATTCCCTTTCTACTCTGTCTCTTTATCCTCATGTTCCTTGTCTTCTTTTCCTCTTGTGCCTTCAATGTGCTGCCCCACAGAACTGCACATGGTGCTGAAAGGAATGGGATATTATTTACGCTAACAGTGGTGTAATGCCTTGTGGTTTGGTAGGTAGGTAGGTGCCAGCATGTACCATCTTGAGGGTAGAAAAGGAAGTTGTGCAGGGAAGGTGGGCAGAGAAACAGCAGAATCCCATTTAGGCTGGGGCCACACGAGCGCACAAAGTACGTCCGTTGCAACAAACATACTTTATGATGGACGTTGCTGAGGACACCACATGGTTGCAGAATGTGGTGTATATTTTTTTGTCCGCAATGGAGCCAGAAGAAAGCATAGCATTCGCCTCTCTTGTGTATTTCTACAATGGACGTCATGACGTTCGTTACAACAGACGCATTTTGTGCACTCATGTGGCCCCAGCCTTAATGATCATCAGTTTAAGCTCTCCCTCATTTAACATTTGTTTCCAGTGATCTCAGATCAGTAATTTCAGTGTTAAATTTCCTCCATTTTCTCCAACTTAGTGTTTAGATCAATTGCTCCTCAGTGAAATCTTAGGTGGAAGTTCACTGTAATGTGTAATCCCAGGCATTTGTGGAAAGAACGAAATGTTGAAAATAGCATAACATTTTATTAAGTAACTGAGCCTTGCTTCTGTTTGTGGTGTGTCTTTGCAAGAGTCCTTGCTTAGTGATACAAATTTCTTGTGTGAATCATCCAGGTTTGAAGCTGCAAGGAGCTCAGTGCCGCAACAATCAACTGCATCTCACATCCACCATTATGATGGACTTGCCAGTCACACTTCTTCGCTGGGTTAGGTATGTATTGTGTTTCTGTCCTTTTCAGTCTGTTAGTTAACTGATGGACAGAAGTGTTCCACTATGGGCTGTTGACAGAATAATGGCATAAATTATTAAGTCACTGACAGGGTCACAGGTTGGTATTACTGTCACTGTTGCTATGAACTCTTTGAAGCTTGAAATTTGTATGGATAATATGTAAATATTTAGTTCGTACCTCACAGAGAGCAGTGAATCTCCATTGCAGGTGACCAACTAGTTAGTTAATCCTGTCTAAGAAAATAATAGCTGCTTATTATAATGAGAATCATATGAAACCCATAAGTACACCATGTGGGAAAATGCAGAGTTATTTTGTAAACAGATTATATGTTTTTTTAAAGTGTTTTAATTGGTTACTGTGAACGTGTGCTAGGATGATAGTGCAGGTGTAAAAGCGTGTTAAAATTGGTTGTTGACAAAAGTGTCATTACATAAACTAATAATCAGTGATGATGACGACACCACAGCAGCGAGAATACCGTGTTCCTTTTCTTCTGTGCAGGATGGGTATCAGTGGTACAGACTCGCACATGTGGCTGTCACGCCAAGGCAAGCTGTCGCTACCTGTGTACCTCAACTCGACTCGTACAGAGCTCCTCTTTACTGTTGACTTGAACATCGCTCCAGGACAGGATCAGCACAGCTTCTATGAGCGTGGAGTGGCTGTGCTCACATCCACTGCTCTTAATTAATATGCAGATTAGTCGCATTTGTTTCCCCGTAGGGCATATTCTAGTACAGCAGTTACATATATAATAAATGGTCTATGAAATTATATGGCTGCTCGTAGCATACTGATCTTTTATGGTGAGGAGTTGTTATCTCCGTGCCAAATCCCAAAAGGCTGGAGAACCACTGCTTGTTGGCTCTATATGGATGCTTGTTATATATATATATATATGCAGCTACCCTCCATAGTTTGAAGCATTTCACTGTCTGCAACCTGAGGATGACCCACTGAATGTATGTCTTGTTTATAAAGTATCCATGTTGTAGCAATGCTGTATGATTTTTAAGTAAAACATGTTTTTTTGTTGCAATTTGTCACTGAATTACTTAATTACTCTCATATTTAAAGAAACCTATCATAATTAGCTTTTAAAAAAAAATCAAAATTTCTATTATGGTTAGACCTCTGACATTACTGTGGAACTAAGATGTTATGTATGTGTACACACTGATGGGCATATCTTATTGGAAATAAAGTGCAGTTGTTGGGTCTAATATATTTGTTTCTTTTATATAAACTCCCCATCCCCCAAACAGTCTCTGGTCATTGGAACATCACTGACCTCTTAGTACTACATACAAATCCTGTTGCTAATTCATAACTGTCATTCCATTTCCATGGGAGTATGTATAGTTATCTGCTGGTTCAGTGCCACCTATACCCCATCTGACTTCCTGTACTCCCATTAAATCTACATACTTGTACCTTGCTAATTTCCCTAAAGAGATTGCCAACATTCCATGTTCCAAATCTCGGGTCCATTTTCCGTCGCTTTAGGTAATTCTAAAGACTCCACCCAAATCTGAGGCTGGGACCTGCTTAATGTGGCCACTGCTTCCCAGAGAAAACTCGATTGGTGGGTTCACCGAGTAAATGATCATACACAGTTCAGTTTAGTAATTCATGCCTAATTTGTACTAGTATAGACAGGTGCAAGTGATGTTTATCTTGGTTACAAGCATCTGGAACAAGTTATAAGTTGTGGTGGTTAACAACTGCAAGATTCATCAACAGTTATTTAGCCCCTTGTAATAGTTTGTCAACTATATGAAATACTAAAAACATTTCAGAGAAAAGTTCTGTAAGATTTGTATTTTGTCCCTTTACGTCAATTTAAGGAAAGTTTTAAGGGATCAGAGTTGAAATGTCAGTTACTGAGCATGAGATTAAGCAGAAGAAATGGAAGAATTCAGACAGGGTTTTGGTGGGAAAGACAGATGGGAAGAGAACACTAGGAATACATAGATGCAGGTGTCAGGATAATATTAAAATGGATCTTAAAGAGGATAGACTGGATTCATATGACTTAGGATAGGGAACAGTGGTGGGTAGCTGAGGTACTGGTGGCTTTTGAAGGTTAATTCTGCTCCATAGAGTTGATTCAAAGACTATAAAACTCGCTTGTTTTATTAAAGCCAAGAACTTGATGTTGGCATCATATTTGTAGTCATTTTCTTTTAAATAATTCAATATATTATCTGTACTATTGGTAAGCAGATCATTTTGGACGATTGTAACACAATTTTGATGTTCTGCCGAAACAGCATCAGTCACCTACGATTTCATTAATAGAGTCCGTCACAACACAATATAAAGGTCAAGGCTAAAATTAGCTTGGTTACATGTTTCGGCAATTAAGGCCATTATCAGGCAAACACATGATTACCATATTCACAGACTACTGAACTGCAATTGCGATGGTAAAGTTGGATACTTGATAATACATTATAAAATACATGGTATAAAAGTACAATGAACTATAAACTTATTAAAACGAAAGTTATGGCGTAAATTAAGGTTAAAACTCTTCATGTGATATTCTATATCAAGTCAGTTTGTTTCAATTTTGTTATATTCCCGTGGACATAACAGTATATTCAGACTTGTATACATGTAATAAACTGCTTGGAGGCCCGTGGTATCGATGTAATATAGTTTGACGTTAATTGTTTAGCTGGTGCCTCATCTTACAATGTACTTTGTCCGTTCTGTAAGGAATATACATTACAACTATTGAGATCATTGAGATCACTGAAACTGAGAATGCTTCCGGTTCCACAGAGCTGGTATGAAAATTTTGATGTACTAAATAATATTGAGGAGCTGTTAACCTCCTTTATCATCATAATATCCGGATACGAAAGAGCCGTTTTCCCGGTATTTGGCGTGTTGTCTTACGCAAACAAGTCCACCTGCATCTGCTATGTGATTGCTATGTAAATCAATCAGTGATGCATATAAGGCTCATAACGCTTATAACAGATTGGGTATTACTTTAAATAGCCTGAAGATGTAAGGACAAATTTAGCTGAGAATTCGTGTGGAAGGTGTAATTCCTACCAAAATCGTTTGAAGTCAATTCATACACTTATCGCCCAGGAGTGTTCCGGGTAGAAGAATAATTATTCTTCTCTCTATTAATAACTCTATTAATAGACCATCGGCACAACCTTTTTTTTTACATATTATAATATGTAAATATGTATGTATAATATTAAAAAAAAAGGTTGTGCCGATGGTCTATTAATAGAGTTGTTTTGGTTTTGGGAGTTGTCCGTCGTCCTGTCGTTCTGTATTTAAAACACAATGTCTAGGACGTCTAGGAGACTGCATTCTTCCTCCGTCTTGGTAAAGCATACTCGCTTGGGCCCAATCAAAAGACCTAGTCACTATCTCCGATGGATAATGTCCAGAAACATAATAATTGTAAAAGAGTAACGTTCAAGAACTTTTAGTTTTCTACCAATTACTGTTTCGAATATATTTCCTTTTATTTTGGTTTTTCCAAAAATCCATAGAAGAGGATTAGGTGGTTTGCGCCACTGGTGACAACCGTTACTTTATATTTGTGGATCTTTCTTCATTCAATTGCAAAAGTCTAACGTATTACCGTACTATACTTACCTCATTAGGCAATGACTAACAAAAATTGTGAAATGTAAATAATACCATACTTTGCAACTATAGGACAAGGAAAGAGGAGGGGGGGAAAAATTGCACCTTCTAGGTGGTCATTCTTGTATTGATCTAGGGAGAACTGATTATTAGTCGGGGATGTAGCTCAGTGGTAGAGCGTTCGCTTTGCATGTGAAAGGCCCCGGGTTCGATCCCCGGCATCTCCATTTTTTTATGTGTACATTCCTTATGTAATTCGTTTTAGACGTGGAGATTTTAAACTGAACAGCCATTTTATACGATTTTGTGTTTTTATGTAGCCAGTTCTGAATCTTTGAATTAATGACAGATCCATCACATTTGTGACGAAACGTTTCATTGGCCTTCGACTAAAACCAGTTCTGAGTGGAAAGTATCATTATGCTGGAACTGATTATAATATGTTCAAAGTCGTCGTTTATATTATTGTTGATTTGCTTAATGACGCTTTCCCAACTGCATATGGTGCATATCGTGGAATGATAAGGTGGTTTGTAAAATGATGGATAGGACCGAATGTGGAGGGAAGCGGTCGTGGTCTGTTTTAAGCTTTACTGGGAGGATGGGTAAATCTTAATCACAGTATTTTTATTGCTAGTGGGGCGGGACTAAGTCCCTTGTACTGTGGCCACTTCTGGCCTATTGTACCAGCCCCAGATGATAGGTGAGGGTGATTGTGGAGCAATTGGTGGAATGAAGATTGGCAGGGGAAACCGAAGTACTCGGAGAAAACCTGCCCCAGCGCCACTTTGTCCACCATAAATCCCACTTGACCAGACCCGGGCCGCCGCGATGGGAAGCCAGCGACTAACCGCTTGAGCTATGGCGCAGCCATTTAATCACAGTAACTAGCATCCAGTACGATTTCTTCTTCCAACCATAAAATTGAAGTTCTGGGAATGTCGGCAGACCACATTTACAAATGTTGTGTCACTAATGATTTATGGATCATGTTGTCATTTCGTAAAGTCTGATAAACAGTAATCCGTTTATCTTGCCCAGTGTGGTTAGAATACCACGTGACATAAGAGACTACGAAGTGAAATTTTAATAACTTCAAGGTTACATTTACAATACATTGATTTTGTGTTGGTATCTCTTGACAGATTTCATCACGATTCCCTTCTGCATGCCTGGGCAAAAAGACATGCAAAGGGCGTTTTTTTTGGAATCCTCCAACTTTTTTGTGGTTAGTTTTACGGTTCTGTCAGCATCTGGTTGCATAGCGTAGATTGGTAGGATGATTGATGAATTGGAAAGGATCTGGAAGGAAGCAATTGTGGCCTGAGAGACGTACTATCTAGGCATTAGCTTTGAGGGGTTGAGGAAAACCACCAATAACCTTTGTCAGGATAGTCGATGGACCACGCAGGGTGCCCATACTGGCAGCACAACAGATATCTAGAATTCTTGCTTTGGACTGCAAGGCTGAAGTAGAGAACAAGCAGTATGACATAAAATACAACATTATATTTATAAAGAATAATCTAGTTTCCAAACCTTAAATTATCATAAGTCAGTTACTACAGTTTTTAGGTTTTCGTGGTAATGAAGAACTAGATTGTGGCCTAAGCAATGGCACAGTAGCGCCTGGTAGATGTGTATTGTTTCGGATAAACACATGTCTCCGTTTTTATCCTGTATATGGTGGGAATAGTACCTCCAAAATGTACATGCACAGCTACGAGACCACACGATGCCCATAATACTAATATTTTCAAGGTTTATGTTCCAGCCGTAATAGGTTACAAAGTTACCAACTGCCGTACATAGTAGGGTACTATTTGGCGAACCTAACGTAATTGTCCTTCATGGAATACAGGAAGGAAGGTTGGATATGACGTCAAATTTTTCTGCTCATTTCTTGTTCCTGCGGTTTCGAACTGCACCCTTTCCCCCCACCACTGTGCACCAGTGCTCTGTAGATCACGTGTTCCGACATGTTCGGTGATTACGGTTGCACGTCAGTCCGTCTGCGGCAACAGGTTGAGCAGGGTAAGCCGTCCCGTTTGTGACAAATGCAGATGTATTAGGGTTGGAGGCCTCTTCTACATTAACGTGTCTGCCATTTAATACGAAGTGGCACACAATGTTTCTTTTAGTTTCATTACGCAATGAAACTTAATTTGTGGTATTTCATATATACTTACTACTTACATCTAAAACGAAATTGGGAAGATATTCTAAATTCGTTTTATCGTGTAGCCATTTTGGTTTCTAGAATAAGCGGACTGATGTTCAGACATGTGAACATGTGCAGCCAAAGAATTTGCTTACAGAGTTTAAGCCATTTAAGAATATCATTACGGGATCACTCTTAAAAGGTATTCAGGGTAGAAGAAGAATTTTAAATATAATAATAATTTCGATGATAATGTTCGATATATTTCCTTTATTTTTTTCCCAATTTTTTTTTCTCCCAAAAGAGGCACAAGCTCGGTTTTCTCACTCCCCCAAAACCTCCGGGCTCAATTCAGATACAATGTTTAAATAATTGTAAGTTATAATGATCATTGACGACGTTAATTCTTTTCGTAAGAAGAGAATTTGGAAATATAAA